TCCTTTTGATCTTATTCACTGTGATATTTGAGGACCCTTACACACTGCCTTATACTCTGGTCATCGCTACTTTCTAACATTAGTTGATGATAACACTAGATTTACTTGGATTTACTTACTTAAAGCCAAGAGTGAGGCTGCCACAATTTTTCCTAAATTCTTTGCTATGGTCCAAACTCAATTTGGCAAGAAAATCAATATGATTCGTTCAGACAACGTTAAAGAATTATCGTTCATAGAATTCTGTCAAGAGCAAGGGATTATTCATCAATGGGCTTGTGTTGAAACGCCTCAGCAAAATTCAGTTGTAGAGAGAAAGCATCAACATATCCTCAACGTCTCTCGAGCTTTATATTTCCAATCCAGAATTCCTTTAACCTTTTGGTCTGATTGTGTCCTTACTGCTGTATTTCTCATAAATAGGACTGATTCAACCATTCTTAGATATCAATCTCCTTATTCAAGGCTATATAATAAGGAGGTTGATTACTCAACATTGCGGGTATTCGACTATCTTACCTTTGCTTCCACATTATTAGCTCATAGGACAAAGTTTCTACCAAGGGCTCGCAGATGCATTTTTCTTGGATATCCTCCTGGCATGAAGGCATATAAATTTTTTGACTTGGATAATGGCCAAGTTTTTATCTCTAGAAATGTTGTTCTTCATGAGAATATTTTTCCCTATCAACATGATAATGTTGCCACTGATTTAGATCATCTTCTAGACCTGGTGTTACCTAACAAAAGTGTTACAAAATGTATCAATGACAATTCTGCTTTTAATCAGTCCTCACAGCCACATCATATTACATTATCTTCACCTTTTCAAGATATTTCTTGCTCTGTAAATGAACCCAACAGTACTAATTTTGCACACATTCAGGTTACCCAACCTGATCCCACTCCCATAACTACTAGGCGTTCTACAAGGTCGTCTAAACCACCAATCTATCTCAAGGATTATCATTGTAGCTTATTGGCTAACTCTGCCAGCATTCAACCTTCGGTTCAACATCCATTAAGTTTTGTTCTCTCTTATGACAGATTGTTATCTTCTCATAAACATTTTGCTCTCAGCATCTCTTCTCATTCTGAGCCACAATATTACCACCAAGCAGTAAAATTTCCTCAATAGCGTGAAGTCATGCAAGCTGAGATTTCAGCTTTAGAGGACAACAAGACCTGGTCAATTGTTCCTTTGCCTGAAGGGAAGCATGTTATTGGATGTAAGTGGATATACAAAATAAAATTCAATTCGGATGGCTCTGTGGAAAGGCACATAGCCCTGCTAGTAGCAAAATGATATACTCAACAAGAAGGTATTGATTTCAGAGATACTTTTTCTCCGGTTGCTAAATTGGTCACGGTGAAAACCTTATTAGTTGTTGCATTTTCTCAAAATTGGCATCTTTATCAACTAGATGTCAATAATGCCTTTTTAAATGGAGACCTCTTTGAAGATGTCTACATATAACTACCTATTGGTTATCACATTGAGGGGGAGCATTTGTCTAAGGATTCTAAGCCTGTGTGCAAATTGCATAAAGCTCTTTATGGCCTAAAACAGGCTTCTAGACAGTGGTACTCAAAGCTGTCTGGAGCTCTCATTGCATATGGTTTTCAGCCATCAAAATCTGATTATTCCCTCTTCACTAAAGTTTCAGGTTCCAATTTTATAGTTCTTTTGGTGTATCTGGATGTCTTCATCCTAGCTGGTCCATCTATTGCATTACTTCAAAGTGTCAAGTCTTTTCTTAACTCTCATTTTAAACTTAAAGATCTTGGCCATCTCAAGAACTTTTTAGGACTGGAGATCGCTAGAGCCAAGAAAGGAATCACATTGTCTCAAAGACACTACACTTTACAGCTCCTTGAGGACACTGGTTTTTTGGCATCAAGACTAGCTGCTATGCCTATGGATCCAAATACCAACCTGAATAGCACAGATGGGGAATTACTCCAAGACTGCTCTCAATATAGAAACTTGATTGGAAGACTATTATACTTGACTCTTTCTAGACCGGACATAACCTATGTTGTTCATAGGTTAAGCCAGTTCATATCACAGCCCAGAGTACCTCATTTACAAGCTGCACATCACCTTCTAAGATATCTTAAGAGTCATACAGGTCAAGGATTATTTTTTCCTTCATCATTTTCTCTTCAACTAAGAGCCTTTAGTGATGCTGATTGGGGAGGATGTCCGGATTCTAGGAAGTATATGACTGGCTTTTGTGTATTTCTGGGGGATTCCTTAATATCCTAGTAATCTAAAAAGCAAACCACCATTTCAAGAAGCTCAGCTGAAGCTGAATATAGAGCTATGGCTACCACTACTGCAGAATTGAAATAGATTTCTCAGCTGGTGACAAATCTTGGTCTATCCTCTACATCCCCTGCTTTACTTTTTTGTGATAATCAAGTCGCAATGCATATTGCTTCAAATCTTTCATGAGAGGACAAAACACATAGAGATTGATTGTCACTTTGTCAGAGATCAAGTAACTTCTGGAAGGGTTCGTTTAATGCCTGTTAAATCACAAGATCAACTTGCTGACTTATTTACAAAGCCTTTGTCTTCGACTGTTTTGTTTTCTTTACTGTCCAAGATGGCAGTGTAGGATATTCACTGTCCATTTGAGGGGGAGTAATAAACTTGTATTTTATTTAACCTGCTGTAATTTTAACTCTAGTTAGCTACCATAGTTAAATGTTAGGTGAATAGTCATTTAGTTTACTTTACCTTTGCATCAATACTGCTTCGATGTTTTTTGGGTTCTCTGATATAATGGCTTTCTCTGTATCTGAACAGTAGAATGAATGAATGATTTTCATCTTACCCAAAATTTCTTTCTTTTTCTGAAACTTACTGTAAGAATATGTGCTCCGAGTAAATGTTTCATTATATGCTTCTTCTTTTTCAAAATATCATTAACGACTAAAATGACAATGTTATGATAGCAATTTGATTATAGGAACTATTTTAGAAATGATTGCAATTGTATGAATTGATTTGAAAATTATAGACACTAGATTCAAAACAATTTAAAATTATAGGGATAGAGATTTTAATGTAACCTCTTAAAATTAGAGGGTAAATAAAACTCTGAAAAGGATTAGTCGAGCTAGCTCATAACTATTTATGTTTGATTTGGTCAACAGCTCAACAAGCTAGGTTTATAAACTAATCAACTACGTTTGAATTAAATATCATGACTTATTTGTTTAATGAGCCGAACTTGAGCTTTCAAATATTTAATATATTAATTCGCGAGTTATTCTATATAATATATATAATTTTACTCTTAAGTTAACCATTGAATATAGAATTTGAGCTTTGATCCATCAAATTTGAAAAACTTACAAGTTAAGAATGAGTTGAACTCGAGTGAAGAAAATAAGTTTATTCTTATCCAACTGAACTTGAGTTATTACATTATAAAAGGACGACGGTAGCGGAAATGTACGGGATTAGTTTTACAAAATTAGTTACGGTTATATTATAATTAATTTTTATTCAAAATAAATTTTTAATCTTACCAACGTGATAGTAACACATGGATAGGGTGTCGACTTATTTACATTTTAAAATGACATTATTATTTATTTTTTAAATTGCATTAAAAACAGTTCCCCTTGATCATTTCTACTTTAGCGTTTCGTGTGTAATCAGTAATTGTCACTTATTTGTTGAAAATCTCATCTTTCTTTTTCTTTTTCTTTTAATAACTGATGATCTATTTTAGTTTCTAACTATAAAATTATATTTCTCTCTATTCGAGATAACGTTCATGTTGTCTATTTTGTATTAGGTAACTACTGTTGTAACATTTGAATACAAAAGTTGTTTGAATTTTTTTTTCTCTCAATATTTTAGTCTAAAAAAGAAACAAATCTTTGGTGCTACTGTAGCACCAAAGATTCAGTACATCCCACTAATAAAAATATTACATGTCAGCTAAAGTTTTATTTTCTCTGACAAATTATTTCTCTCTCCTATGATATGTAATGCTCTCATTGTTGAGATGCACTGAATCTTGGTGCAACAGTAGCACCAAAGATTTATCCCTAAAAAAAATCCATGGCACTTATTTTGATGCAAGAAGAAACCTATTTGTAGCTGCATCTTGACACTTATTTTTGTGATTTCTTGACTTTATTTTGGAATCTTAAGAAAAATTTCTTCATGAACATCACAAGTTACACCTTTTAATGTGGCTAAGAGGTGCGTGCGGATGATGCATAAGAGCATTGAAGCCCTAAGCATACCGAAGCCTTTATGCGAAACCAATGAAACACTCCAATTCCAAATATCTTTGCCACCTTTTGTCCTTGTCATCCTGTCCGAAGAATTTCACGTTCCTTCTGATTGACAGCACTTGATAAATGTTCATCATTCAGAAATAATAAAAAAAAACAATACAAAAGTTTAACATTTTACATGCTACAAATCTTCTCACTATATAAGTATATAACTTTTGTTACAAATCCTCAGAGCTTAAACCCTCTATAATATATTATAAATGTTTCGATTATTCTAGTAATTGAAATAAATTTTCAATACTAAGAATTATAATTCATAATAATTTACTTGGTATGTAATTATTTTTGCACATAATAACTTATTTATTTATTTTTTCATTAACAAATAATTCTCTTTCGTATCTTACATAAATCAAAACTATCATAAATCTATTTAACAAGTTACATGTGTCTCATAATTCACTTTTGATATATTCAGACACTAATTACAAAATTTGAATTTAGCAACCGAGTGTCATAACATTATCGATAATCTTTAAGAATCTGGTACAATTTAAGGACAATAAAGGACCCATCCAGGTTGTCTAGGGTCCTGAAAGTCGTTTTTACACTGTGACTCACTCTTTCTATAGCTACATTTCTACTTTCACATATTCTCAATCCTTATCAGCAAACTGTGGTCTTTTCCTTTCTTTCTTTTTCTTTTTTCTCTATTTAGTTGGTGTTGGTTTTAAGTTGCCATTATAAGAACATCTACTTCAAAAGCTCTAACTACTAAACTCACAGACTAGTTGGTTGAAGCTAAGCTCTTGAAGCCATGGCTACCCCTTCCTACCCTTCGTTACTCCTCTGCCTTTCTCTGATCGCCACCACCCTCTACTTAGCCGGTTTGTTTTTTCAATTCCATGCCTTTTTGTATAATTAATGTTACCTTTTGGATTGTCTGTTTTTTTTTTTCTTTCGGGAAAGTTGAGAATGCTTTTATTATGTCCCCTAGTTCAAGGAAAAGCCATGTTACTTTCTGGGAACTTTCTCTCTGAATTTTCTCGGGAAAGTGAAATTTTGTGGCTTACCCGTTTGGGAAAAATGGGATGGTGATGAAGTTCGTCGGTTACAATCTATGAAAACCACGAACAAACAACGTTGTGATTTGAACTCTGAAATGTGAAGTTTTATTTGTCTCTTGGAGAGGAGAATTAACTTTGCATTCAATTTTGGATTTTGATTCGATTTTTAAACTGTTGTAGAATTTTAGAGTTGATTTAGCTTCATGGGTATCTTTATCTTTGTCTTGCAGATTCGCAATCCTTCATCGGCGTAAACTACGGCCAGGTCGCCGACAACCTTCCGCCGCCGGATGCCACTGCCAATCTCCTCAAGTCCACCGCCGTCGGAAAAATCCGGCTTTACGGCGCCGATCCGGGGATCATCAAGGCACTGGCTAATTCCGGCATCGGAATCGTCGTCGGCGCCGCCAGCGGCGACATTCCGGGTCTAGCATCCGATCCCAACTCGGCGACTCAGTGGGTCAATGCGAACGTGTTGCCCTACTACCCTGCCAGCAATATCACTCTGATCACCGTCGGCAACGAGGTTATGACCTCCGGCGACCAGGGTCTCATCTCGCAGCTTCTCCCGGCGATGCAAAATATCCAGAAAGCCCTCAACTCGGCCTCACTCGGCGGTATCAAGGTGTCCACGGTGCATTCCATGGCCGTGTTGACTCAGTCGGATCCTCCATCAACCGGGTCGTTCAACACGACACTCCAGGACACCCTGAAACAGTTGCTGCAGTTTCAAAAGGATAACAAATCTCCCTTCACCATCAACCCATACCCGTTCTTCGCTTACCAGAGCGACCCGAGACCCGAAACACTCGCATTCTGCTTGTTTCAGCCGAATTCGGGTCGGGTTGACTCGGGTAACGGGAAGCTTTATACGAACATGTTTGACGCTCAGGTGAGTGACCAATTTGTTTTTTCCTTTTTATTTTCTTTAGAAAAATCTTTTATTCGAAAGTTGACTTGCGAGTCAACAGAGCAGACAATAGTAAATCTTTGATCTCTTCACCACGTAATGCCACGTGTCTGATAATCTTCAGTTTGATCTAATATTAGAATCATCTTTTTATTCCATTCCCCTCTGCTGTTGTTTTACTATGAAGTTTCTACGAGCCTTCCAATCTGCCTAGTTGCTAAAAGAGTTAAATCATATTTTGAAATTTGTACAGTACGGTCCCAAAACCAAATTTGAAATATTTATGTGATGATAAAGTATAATTATTTAGTTATGATGATAACTTATGAGTTATGATGAATCTGCCTAGTTTTTCCTTTTAAAGTTTCTACCTTTTTTATAACGGATTGCTAATCTGGTCCTTAGCTTTTGATAACACTGCAGCACAGAGGTTGAAATGTCACACTCACACATCTTTTCTATTTTGTAATTGTATGTTTCTGCTCAGTGTTTCTTTCTCTGTTATAATAGTGGTTACTTTCTAATTTTCATGTGGAACAAGTTAATAGGTTATTTAACTAGCATGTGATCTAAGTTTAGATAGACATCTACTTAAAATTCTCGTGTTAAATTCAGATGAAATTGTTTATAAGATTGTTTGCAATTTGAGTGAGTTGCATAACTAGCAGTCTAGCACTGTTGATAATTTAATATGTCTTGTAGTTATAGTAAAGAAAGTTTTGATTAAGGGTATTTGTGTTTGTTGTAACAATGCATAGTTAATTGTTCCTTTTCTGCTACAGTTGAGAAACGATGAAGTTAAAGAGTGCATAGCATTCCCAGTATCACCTTTGGGAGGGATTTAAAGCCTTAATCCTGGACCCGCCCCGAATCGGATTAGTTGCAAAGCAATGAACCGATTGGAATATTTCAAAAAAAAAAAAAGAGTGCATGGCGATTCCTCTCTCTGTTTTATTTTCCACCGTGAAATCATGAGTCCTTTGGATTTTATCTGATGGCTTTCATAAGAGTACAATATTGCATGTTGTTTGTGACAGGCTGGGTAGTGGCTACATGATGTGGCCCCCATGCCCCATCAATTATTGTTGAACAAGGAAAAATTAAAAAATATGACAAATCATTCTCTTTTTTTCTCATGCAAATAACAAAAGTTTTTTCTAACGGTCAAGTTTTGTCTCCATTACCTGTTTGATTTTGGCATATTCAGTGATTCTGATTAACCCAAAGTCTAGTAGTATACAGTGGCCTCAAACTTTTAATGGTTAAAAATTTGTTAGGTGAACACAATTTTGCTGCTAATTAAATGCTATTAATGGTATTTGAAAACATATGGTGCTATTGATGAATGTTGAGCAGGTTGATGCTGTACATTCTGCTTTGAGCGCAATGGGGTTTCAGGACATTGAGATTGTGGTTGCTGAGACGGGATGGCCCTCACGTGGGGACACCAACGAAGTAGGACCTAGTGTTGAAAATGCCAAGGCCTATAATGGGAACCTAATTGCACACCTTAGATCATTGGTTGGAACTCCTTTGATGCCTGGGAAATCTGTGGACACATACATTTTTGCACTCTATGATGAGGATTTGAAACCTGGCCAAGGATCTGAAAGGGCATTTGGTCTGTTCAAAACTGATCTTACAATGGCATATGATGTTGGCCTATCCAAGTCTAACCAGCAGGTGAAGAAATATCAATACTAGAATTTAGAATATTAATAAAAATTTCAAGTGATTTTTAGTAACATTTTGTTTCCTATGTTTGTCCACAGACTCCATCAACTAGTCCAAAAAGTCCAGTTACTCCAGCACCTAAAGTGGCAACACAATGGTGTGTTCCAAGAGTAGGAGTCACTGATGCTCAGTTGCAGGCAAATCTTGACTATGCATGCAGTACCCAAGGCATAGATTGTGGGCCAATTCAACCAGGAGGTGCTTGTTATGAACCTAACACAGTATCATCTCATGCTGCCTTTGCCATGAATCTCTACTACCAAAAGATTGGTAGAAATCCATGGAACTGTGATTTCTCTCAATCAGCAATGCTTACATCCCAAAATCCAAGTAAGACTGATCAGTTTTTGACCTTTTGGGTGATGTTTTGTTTCTTATGAGTTTGGTGGAAAGTGTTTGAAAAATGGAAGTTGAAGTTGAAGTTGATTAGATTTTCACTTTGTGCTATATGGGTTGTCCTGGTTTCATACCTATGTCTTGTCTAACTGGATTTTCCTCATCTTTGTAGGTTACAATGCTTGCATTTACCTTACTGGGAGTCCCTGAAAATGCAGAGGCTTCAGCTTGTTGCCAATTAAAAATTTATTCATATTAGAATTAAATTAACGAATAAAGGCACTATCTTTTGAGCTATTTTATTTATGGTACTTTAATTTTTATATAGCTTTAATTGTGAAGGTATTGTTGTAATGTCGCAATCTACAATTCTGTTTCCTTTAGTTCTTTTATAATCCTATTTATTCAATTAAATGCTTTGGGTACTCTTACCTAATGTGGTTTATTGGAGTGCATAGTAACCGTAGGTTAGTGCCTTAGTGGCTCCAACAATGCTTGTGTGGGAAATTGCAAACTTTATTTCTAAAAATTACACATTAATAAAAAAGTTATGGACTGTATTACTCAATCTATAGTTTTTACTACTTAATTTGAAATTTTTATTATTTAGTCTTAAATTTTTTTAAGTTTTCTAGTAGACAATGAATAAGAATTAAGAAGAAAAGACAAAGATAGAGAGAATGTTTCGGGGGAATTGGTTATGATCCAATGACAAATTTCAGAATTCAGATCCAATCTCAGGGAGCAACTGGCACGTTTCAATTTGTAAAAGGGCTTTACTTCTCTCACATAGTATGAGAGAAGTTATCTTATGTTGTAAAATAAATAAAGTAGGGCTTACTAATTTTTAAAAAAACAAAAAAAAGTACATCTTTTTATGTGAGTGTAACATGAGAGATAAATCTCATGTAACATAAGAGTATAATTTTCCTTTGTAAAATATTAAAAGTTCCATGTTTATGTATGTGTCCTTTTCTTGTTTGAGTGAGATGATCAAGAAGCACAAGTTGACATCATGGAAGGAGAGGTCAGAGTCACGTTGCACTGTCCCGCAACTATACATCAATTGAACTCTCATTTCAAACAAAGTGCATATTCATTCCACCACTTTCTGGTTTACGTCATATGTCAATTGTGCTTGAGGCCGCTGAGAGTCCTTGACTAAAAGCATCGTTAATATATTAATATCATCTAAATATGCCATATGTTATAAAAGCTTATGTGAAAAAAGAAAATGCTGAAGTTGCTATTCTAAAAACGGAAGCCAAAATCGCTTATAGTTGTTCCAGGAGAGAAAAAAGAAAAATGCCGGTTCAACTATTCTTAATTTATCTATCAAAGCAACACACTTATCATATGAACTTTGATATATTTTCACCGAAAACTAGTCATTATAGAGTTATTGCATAAGATTTTTTTTATTTTTTTGTTGTTGTACAAGTATTAACTATATCCTCTCTTTTTTTATGCTTGGTTTGAATTTGTTTATTTCACATTATGTGCACAAAGTACTGTAACGAAAACACCATTTTCTTGAGCTAAAAAAAAAGGACTTGAATGTGGTGCTCATATGATTTCATGAATGATAAGATTTACTCGTAAGGGCTTGATTTACTTATTGATGTTTTCTTCACCTCAAAAAGTTATCTCATTCTCAAAATTTTAGCATGGTAATATATATATGTTTGATGTTTCTTATATAAAAGTATTTTCTATACATATATAAAAGTAGGGAAAAATTATTCTTATGTCACATGAAACAAGTTTTCTCTCCTACACACCCTTCGATAACTGTGCTACATTTTTTTTTCTTTTTTTTTTCTTTTCTCAGGTGGTGGAGCCCACTAGTTTGTCTCTATGACATGAGATAACTATCTCCTTTAACATGAGATTAATAAAACCCATAAAAGTATGTAGGGCTTAAGTGAGAGAAGAGAGAAAAAAAAACAGAAAACATGGGCCTCACATGTTTTTATGTGTGTATGCGACTATATATATATGGGTTCGCTTTTTCTGCAGTAAGTCCAATACGACGTCGTTTTGGGGCGAAAATCATGGTATTTTTGTAATTTTAATTTATTTCAGGGTTATAATAGTCTTTACATTTATAATTTTTTAAGATTTCCATACCAAAACAATGTCGTTTTGAAAATAAATGCAGATAACTTATCTGCATTGACTGCAGAAACATTTTTCCCTATATATATATATATATATATTTCCTCCACCATCGCGAACCCCAATTAAATTCAGGCATGATTAAGAATATTTAGAGAATATTCGAATTTCATATTCAAAATTTTCTATTTTGATTCTATTTATTTTATTATTTTTATTTATTATATTTTTTATTGTTTTTTTTAGTTTTACGATATAACCTATTAACTATATGAGATAACATTCTTCCAATAGAAGAAGTTTGACCCCCCAAGAATAAATGATTGATCTCTATCAAGAGATCCACTAAAGCCCCCAACCATAGAGTACTTACCACCAGGGTCCAGAAAATTAATGAAGGGTGGGCATTCAATAAATTCAAGTACATATAGATTTGAGTCTGGTCTGAAACGCGACTTGCGAGCAGCTGCCAGCTGGCTGGGTCTGGTTGATATCTAGATCTGCACGGATTGCGACTCAACTAGACTCATGATGGACGAAGAAGCAAATGTTCCAACTTCCAATAACGGAGATTGAGGTTTGAGAGGAGATGAATCAGTATGAAGATGCAAACAATGGATCTGAAATAGAGTTCCCTGCTGTTAGGTTTGGATAACGAAGATGAGGAGAACAAAAAACTCACGGCAAAATAAATAGAAGGAGAGAAATTAAAGGGGTAAGATATCGTAACAACCAACTAGGGTTACTACCAACCAACATAATTGATCTAACGATGAAATTGATTAGTAGTAACCCTAGTTGGTTGTTATAATATCCTACCCCAAAATTAAATTGGAAAAACTTGAATTTTAAGATAAGGATATTTTTGTATTTTTACATTATATTTTAAGGGTGGACACTTGCCCCCTTTCTCCTGAACCTAGATCCGCCTTTGCTTATCACTGGTACCACAGAGAGAGATGTTTTTATATCCCGTATTTTAAAGAAGAAGAAAGGAACAAAAAAAGTGAAAGTTGATAATTCGAAATTCAATTATGTAGGAAAGAGGATCTTTTGTGTATAATCCTGTATAATCTCGAATGTTATCCGTTCCGATACTTAGACTAAATGATACAATGCAAAAAGTTGCTAGATTCATCGAGATATAAACTACATATAAGTTATCACATTTGAGTCTCCATAGTATATTATTAATAAATTGGATCCCTATTGAAACATCCTCCATTGTCGTCCAGCGTTTAGGATATCTGGCTTTCACCCAGGAGACCCGGGTTCGATTCCCGGCAATGGAACTTTTTTTTTTATCTCTTTTGCTTCTACTTCTGCATCTCAATTACTTAACATTCTTAGAGTCAAACTTAGAGCTTGCGTGTTATATACTGCATTTTGCTGACAATGGAATGGAGTATGCATTTGATATGCTCTTTGTCACTCGTGGAATTTGTCACCTGAGGCCTACTTTTGAGAAAAAGGCGACTATAAATTCTTAGCTTTCTCACTTCATATTTTTCAAAGATTCCATCCACTCCAAGTTGGCTCGCTGAATTTTAAATCTCACGTTTATGTGGCAAAGTCGGATGTCTGCACTAATTTGATTTTGGTATTGAGGAGAAACAGTGTAGAAGGATAAAAGTCCACGATCAAATGAACACTAATACCACATGTTGTTCTTTTTTTCTGTTAAGTTGGATTCACCTTTGGGGCTCGGAACAAAGTTGAACCTACTATTCTTTGATACATTTTTATTTTATTTTTTGAAAAGTTCACCAATACTTCTGTGGTTTACTCCAGAATCATCCTATGTCTCTGTGATTTTTTTTATCACATATGCTCTTGTGATTTGTAAGAGAGTATGTTTTTTTATCACATATGACCCTGTGATTTTTTACTTTTTACAAACTACGTAAGCATATATGATAAAAAAAAAACTCACTTAGATATAGGTGATTTTAAAGCAAATCATAAGGGTATTGGTGAACTTTTTCACTTTTTTATTTTGTTCAAATCAAAATGTTTATATTATTATTATTATTATTATTATTAATGTCTCAATTATCAATTAACAAGATATATCAACTAGTTAACAAATTAAGAATATGTTAGGATCCACACCAAAAAAAAAAAAAGAATATGTTAGGAAAAATGATGTTAAAATAATTATTGAGATTTCAAGAAATGGCTTCAACAGTGCAAAATTAAAACATGCAATAACACAAAATTAAAGTTTACAGTACGAAAATATATGAATATAACAAGGAAAAATCTGAGCCTAATATTAGACATTATGTTCTCAATACAATTTTGCATTCTCTATAATATTCAAGATTCGTGGTCAATTATCTCTCAATATAGAATGATTACCTCTATTCTTGTGTTGACATTTTCACATAGAATAGCCTCATTAAACTCAACTTATGTTTGACCAATCACATTAAAGTAGAAAATTGCAAATGCAAATAATGTACAAAAACTAAATGGGAAAAACTAGTGTCTTAGCGTTTTGATTCGCTTTATTTATAAAAAATGTAAAGTCACGGTATAAAAGACATACATTCGACAATGAAATAACACATTCGTTCGACGACGAAAAAACATATTTTTTTCAAATCAAACTTTTTATTCCTTAACATAATTAATTCAGATTTAATTCTACCAGAATAAGTTAGTAATAATTTATTAATTATAATGGATTATACGCTTTATCAAGTAATAGTTAAACAATCAACATAAATTCTGTTTGAAAATTTTGATGTGTAAACAAGGTTAACATTCTTTGATATGCTTAATGATGTTAACGTTAAAAAATGTTTGTGGGCCTAACATTGTGAGTGATGAAATTTTCCTACGTAGGAAGACAGATGGACAAAAGTGGGGCCCGTGAGTGTGAATGAAACAACAGTTGCCAGCTCAGATCTTTCTTCACAATTACTTTTCTTAGGAGGTTCACCACCACCACCACTTTCTTCTTCTTCTTCTTCTTCTCTGCGAAAAGGGAAGAGAACAAGCACAACTTAGCCAACCCCATTTCACAATTTACCTTTCCCATGATTTCTATCACTTAAATTTCGTGTCTTGCATTCTCACGCACACACACAATGCTCTACCTCTCAAACCCAACATGTACATGTCCCTTTCTTCCTTGAATACCCTGTTACGGAGCTGAAATGTCTGTTATGGAGCTGAAGGAGCGTCACTCTTCTGCCACCGACACCGTAAACAATCTCAGGGAGCAATTAAAGCAGAAACGTCTTTCTTTGCTTGATACAGATGGTAAAAGTTTTCATTTCTCTTGAAATATATTCGATTTCGATGTAGAACTTGTAACTTTGTGGTAATAGTTGGTTTTATATTTATCTGAACTCATTTTTTTTATGGGAATTTTTCAGTTGCTGGGTACGCGAGGTCTCAGGGTAGAACTCCTGTGACCTTTGGACCCACGGATCTGGTTTGCTGTAGAACATTGCAGGGTCATACAGGAAAGGTAGCCTTTTTGGTTTTTTTGTTTTTATAGTTTTTTTTTTCCTTTCATTTATGAAATGTAATGTGTGGCTTGTTCTCAACTTCACTAAACTTGGTTGACTTTTCGGTTTCAAGAGCACAATAGTTGCTTATCAGTTAGTAGGTTGTTAAACGATTATGGAATTATCTTTATCAAGCTTTTAAATTTGGACCATAACTTATGAAGCTTAATTTCATTAGTTTTGATCAAGAGTTGTTTACTTCTTTCATGTCTGATTCACCCCAGCCCCAGGTTGTCATGGAGAAAACAGTTAGTCAGTGAACACATTGAACTATTCCTTTGCGTTGTGTTTCCAATTCTAAATGACAGTTAGTGGAAATCATGCTTTTGATTTACTACTTTGCTATATGGACAAACTTTGTTGTAGATTTCTAACCATAAAACTTGCAAATTTTAGGATGACTTCATGATCTTTTTTAATTTTGCAGGTGTATTCATTGGATTGGACTTCTGAAAGCAATCAGATTGTTAGTGCATCCCAAGATGGCCGATTAATAGTGTGGAATGCTCTAACAAGGCAGAAGATTCATGCCATAAAGCTGCCTTGTGCATGGGTCATGACCTGTGCTTTCTCACCAACTGGTCAGTCTGTTGCATGCGGTGGTCTTGACAGTGTTTGCTCTATTTTCAATCTGAATTCTCCTACTGACAAGGATGGGAATCTACCTGTTTCCCGGATGCTTAATGGACACAAGGGTTATGTTTCCTCTTGTCAGTATGTTCCAGATGAAGACATTCACTTAATTACTGGTTCTGGAGATCAGACATGTGTTTTATGGGATATTACTACTGGCCTTAAAACATCTGTTTTTGGAGGTGATTTTCAGTCTGGACATACTGCAGATGTTCTTAGGTATGTTAGTTGATTGCTTAATTAATTTGAGCCAATATGTCATTTGACTAAATATTTACCCCCTCGGTGCGAGCGTAGAGCGGTGGTAAAAGTTATTTCTTTGTGACTGAAAGGTCACGGGTTCAAATTTGGGAAACAACCTCTTTGTAATATGTAGAGGTAAGGCTATGTACAAAAATTGTTCTCATCCCTACCCTTGCTAGTCGAGGTTTAATGGGGAGTGGTTTATTTATCCCCTCTGTATTTTGCGTTTACTATGCCTACCTCCCATCTACCTATAGAAACCTACAAAAAAACACCCCATTTCTTCACAAAGAACATTACAACTAACTCCAAAATACTCTCAAATCTAGCATATTTGTTAGACTATGAATATTTTGTAGTCAAATATGATTCCTACCGCTTGAGAAAAAAGGGAAGAGTTCCATGCATTTGATTAAAGGTTCATCTACACCAAATGGATGCGCTCTTCCCTTTTTCTCAACATATAAGGGAGGGGAGAGTAACTTACTCTTGTTTTTTAATTTGTTGAATAAACTAATCTTCGAAAGAATGGCCACTTAAGCTTCAAAATACAAAGCATCTACAATTCTACATAAATTTAAAAGGTGTTTCTACGCACATATTGATAAGTTGGGAAATCTTGTTGGTGATCAACGTGCTGGTTAAATAACATGTTTCATTTGAATATTATTTGTTAGTATTAAATCATTTCTTTGAAATATGTTATTTCTTTGTCCTCTCTCAGCATCTCCATTAATGGATCCAACTCAAGAACGTTTGCATCTGGTTCTTGTGATGCAACTGCTCGATTGTGGGATACTCGTGTGGCTAGTCGAGCAGTGCGGACATTTCATGGGCATGAGGGAGATGTTAATGCAGTCAAATTCTTTCCAGATGGAAATAGATTTGGAACTGGCTCAGATGATGGAACTTGCAGATTGTTTGACATTAGAACTGGACACCAACTTCAAGCATATTATCAACAGCACAGTGACAATGACATACCACCTGTTACCTCAATTGCATTCTCCGTATCAGGAAGACTTCTGTTTGCTGGATACACAAATGGAGATTGCTATGTTTGGGACACTTTATTGGCCAAGGTACTTGGTGCTCTGATGAAACATACAACAACAGCTGGTTGCTTTCTCTTTGGATGCACCATGATTGAAGTCTGCTTATCTTTTTAACAGAACATATGCTCGCTTCCTTGTTTCTTTGCAGGTGGTTTTGAATTTAGGATCTCTCCAAGACTCTCATGAGGACAGGGTTAGCTGTTTAGGTTTGTCAACCGATGGAAGTGCCTTGTGTACAGGAAGTTGGGACACAAACTTAAAGGTAAACATGCATTTTGGCCTTGTTGTCTACCTTTAGGCTATGTGATACACAGTTTGGCGTACCAGTTTTGAAATCAGCTTCTATATGTGGTTGATATTTGTCCTGTTATTGTTCACTAGATTATAGGATAAAAACATTGAAGCAACTGAATGTATAAGCTCTTGTTCACTTGTAGAGCATACGTTCTAACTACTTGCCTCTTGCAGATATGGGCATTTGGAGGGCATAGGAGGGTAACCTGAGCCATTGAGGGAGGTAAAGACTTGTCCATTGACTTTCCTTTTCAGGGCTACTAAAGCCAAAGCCTTTACAGGGCGTTGTGGTTCTCATCACAATCCAGTAGTGATGGTCAAATTGTAGACGACTTGCGTGGAATGCAAAGGATATGGTATGTTCATCCTCGTGTCCGTTTGTCAAATGTGTGTAATCTAGTACTTTTTTTCATTGTACTTAACGTTTCGGTAACTATACCTTGAACCTAAGTGAAGGACTACGTATTTTCTTGTCTCGACAATTTTAGCACAATATACAAATCCTTTTTAACTATCAAAGTGGATGCTACTTAAAATGGAATGATGGGCAAATGTAGCTGAGAGAAAACGTTCTGTCAAGAAATATATAATATCAAATTTGTCAAGCTGTTACGTTATCTTTACGATTTCAACAAACTGAATGACACGATAAATTTTACCTGAAATATCTATACGCTAGCGATTGCCAAAACTTCAGCTACAATCTTGTGTTGGACGGAGTTAGATCTATCATAATTTAGGCTACAGAAAAGAGAATGAATCGCACCTCTTTCTTTTAAGGGTTTAAAATTTTTAAAGTTATTTTAGATAATTTTATCTAATATTCATTAAAATACACACACAAAAAATATGTGGAGTTTATGTTTTGAGAAGAGAGAAAATATATATATATATATATGATCTCACACATTTTTTTGAATGTGTTTTGATAAATATTAAACAAAGTTATTTAAAGTAACTTTAGAACTTTAAATCCTTCTTTTAAATGTCAAACACTTGTCCGGTAAAACCATAAAAGTGAGCCTCATATAATATGTCGGTGTTGTCGTTGACTGCAGCCATTGAAGCTTTCTAAAACATGCATCATGTCCTGTCTTAGCCGGAGCATTATGTAGATCACAAATTAAGAGGTCCGAGGCTTGTATAAATAAAAATTATGTGGCCAATATTCTGAATGCACTTTTTTTATTGGGTACAATGACTGCACATAGGTTCAATGTGAGATATCTTCTACTGGATACATGAAGTCGTGTAAGCAATAAAAATTGTACTATGCACTGAATAATCTGATCGTGTGAAAAAAATCTGAAATCTTTTTTTTCTCCCTCAAGTATGGCAAAAAAAAATAAAAAATTCAGGATCGTTTTAGTGAACGAAACCTTTACGGGCATCACCTGGTCATTGAACCATAGTAAATCATGATCATTATACAGAAAAGAGTAGATCTTAAGCCCAAATAAGAGACGTATCTTTCGTACAAAATAATTGCTATTTAACAAATATAAATTCATTAAGAAAACAAATATTATGGCAAATCCTCAAAATTCATAATACATTTTGCTACAAAGAAAATGAAGTATAATCATGACCAAGGAAGTGTACTCCAACAAACCCGACGTGATACCTCTGAGTATCGTTGCTAGTTTAACAAGCATGCAGTGAGTGACAAATAAATTGCAAATACTAAGCCCAAGCGAACAGTTTTGCAATTCTTTACACACGCTTATCTATGTGGCAGTTTAACTCCAATCTCATTAACAAAAAGAAAGGCCAAGTTGAGTCAACATTTCTTCAGTGACCTAGCCGCTTGCCACAATCTCATGAATGGCATCGCTGACAGTTACATCCTCGGATCTGACAGCCAATTTCATTGCAACATCCTTTGGACCATCAAGTCCAAAAGACAACCGCACAAGAACCTTCACATTCCCGAGGAATACACCCGACAATAAGCATGTGTGTGACCTTGAATTGGGTGGGACTACCTCTGTGCCCTGCAAATAGTGAATAAAATTACGAGAAAGATATAGCCTTCCTGGAAGATACCAGTGAATAACCAATAAACAGGCACAAATAAAAGATTCTCTACTCTATTCATTTGAGAAATTCCTAGGTGTCATGAAATTAAAGATATCTCTTACTCTGGCTCGTTTACAAGGCAAATGTCTAGATGATGAAAGATTTGCATCACATTAGAAGTTTCCTACTCCCATGAACACTTTAAGAATCTCTTCTAATCTAGATTCTCAAGTGCATAAAATAGCATTTACATGCATCCATAACCTCCTTGTGGCGGGGTTTGGCAATGTCACAAAGGACAACTTCCAAATCTTTGAAAGGAACTAGGCTGAGAGAACAATAAAATCTTTTATATGCACCAAATGCATTTGCATCTAGATGTTAGTAATATCAAACTCTCAACACTTTGGCTTGATCTCTGTGCCATGGGCATTATCTTACACCCAAAGAACCTAAGAGTCTCTTCTAATTTAAGGTTATCTGAGCACATGTCTGTGAATGTGCGTGCATGCGCATTCGACAGAAAAGCATTCTGCCCAAACAACAGCAATTTGCATGCATACCCACACATCCTTGTGGCTTGAGCTTGGCAATTTGACAATGTTCAACCTTCAAATTTTTCTTAGGAATTAGGCTGACTGCAAGCATTTAAAGTTTTATATGCATCAACTGTACATGCACCTTTGAGTACTATTAAACCTAAAATTTATGAGAAAGAGAATGCCAACTCTTAGTCTATGCACGCTAATAAGTCACATGGAAAATGAATCCGTAATGCTATCTTGATAAGGATAGACAGTAACATTATACTGGTCTTTTGGCAGCATCTAGCAAGCAGAGCATTACATTATGTTGCAGTAAATGGTATAAACGGCTCATAACCATTTTAATAAAATGGGTCTCATAACAAGCATTTACCAAAGAAGCAAATCACATCGTTGGTTTACCTCACAAGGCTGCATGCCAAGAAGATTGGTGACGGTATTTACAGCTTCAGCCAAGCTCTCCCTTGGGCCAAGACCATATTCATCCACTCGTTCACAATCAGGGCCCATGCTTTCCCATGAATTCCTGAAATTAGATACCCCCGCTTTCAATATGTAATCTGCTGCAACAACCTCCAGATCCTCCAGCTGGTATTCATCTTCAACGCCATCATCTTCTGCCTCACCAGTCGTTGGGTCAACCTGGTCAATATTCAATTTATGAGCAGTGATGAGATTTCAACAAAAATACTACAGGTTTAATTTCCACAAATTCCTTGCCAGAGAAAAACAAAAACATTTCCAAGCTTGAAATATAAATATACACATCATGATATATATTGGGGGTCAGGGACAAAGAAAAACCATAAAGCTTAGCAAGGATAAAGGGGACAATTACCTCTTTAACAATAAATTTCAGAACGTTAGAAAATTTTCCAGCTGTTGGTATTCCCTCAGGCTTTTCAAATGCCACAAAAGTGTGCCCAGGTGAATCATAAGGAAGAGATCTGAGAGGCTTGGAGAACACCTCGGAAAATTCTTCTGCTTCTGAAGCATCGACAATTACAATTACCTGGAATATGGGGAAAAATTATACAGAAGACCTGTAGTTGCATTGAAGTATGAAATTGTACAGTATCTATATTAGTCATTACATCTTCCAATAATTGTTCTGGTATCGTGTTTGTGCAGTTGTACTGAAACACAACGTGCTTGTCAAAAATGTGTTTAACAACATTAACTGCATATTCTGTTTCTGCTTCTGTAAGCTCCACAGGTGCTGAGGACTGGTAAGAAATATAATGTCAGAATACAAATAATCACATTAGACCAACAATGGTAAGAAATATAATGTCAGAATACATATAATAACATTAGATCAACAAAAAAAAAAATATAAAATTACAATTGTGAAAGAAGAATTGAGTGAAAACCTTAAAAAGCTTCCCAAAGTTTGCAAACTCAGGAATGGACAGAAGCAGCCTTTCATATGCATCTGCAGTAGATGGGGGGCCACTGGGAGGAGCACCCAAGCCAGTTGGCTTTTTGCCAGGGGCTTTCTTCTCTGCAAGAGGCTGAGATTTGACCTCTTTGGGCACCAAATTAATGTTAAACGCTTCTTCTGAAGACTCCTGCATTCACATTAAAAACATGAGATATGGCCATAGTTAATGAAAAGCAAGAAAAATGAAGAGGATTTACATAGTTTTTCAAACTAGACTCCAGATTGACAAGTGGGATATCAAGTGACCCAAAGAGGAAGTCCTTCACATCTTTATCAGTCTCAACAATTGAACCATCACCTCCAAGTGTGTTCAGATAAAGTGTTGCTCTATCACGAACCTGCAAAGAAATCAAAATCATCCAAATATAAATCAAAGCGAGTAGCAGCTAAACACACTTCCAGGGTAGCAAAAATGTATGATCTCATAAACCACATAATTATAGAGATGCCTTGTAAGATATGACAGAGAAACTTACCTCATCATCACTGTCAAAAAGACACCGCCTTAACAAAACAAATACGCGGGGCTGAAAAGAGAAATTAAGAGATTTTAAAATAATACCAAATATCACCCAAATAAAAAAAAAAATCTCACGAGAAATCTACTAGAGAAAATAACTAAGAAACAGAGGCAAGTAACACCTTTAATGCATCAACTGCAGCACCAAACTTTGCCAGTGTGCTCACAGCACTGGCCCTAACAGTTGCATTCTCAAGATGTACTCTGTTAAAAATATAACGAATATATTTGCTGGGGTCTGATGTTTTTGGACCTTCAACTCCCAGAAAGTGCAGTATCTAAGGAAAAATGGAAACAAAATTAACAACAAAAGGTAAAAATACGAAAGCAGAGAGTAAATGACAAAGGACAAAACCAAAATTACTACCTGGGTGGACAAATAAGTAAATTCACAATCTTCAATGAACTCACAAAGATGAAGCAACCCACTGTCCTTAGCATCAGGGATATCTCTAATAAGAATCACAATTGAATCTACAATTGCTTTCTTGTAATCAAAGCCACCTTCTTCCCTAAGAATGTTACTCAGGAAGTTCATCCTGAAAATAATGAGACAGAAACCAGTAGTTTAGACCAGTTATATAGGAAAATATTCAACTGATAGATGTAACATCTGGGGGAAAGAAACCAACAAAATGACACACATACTCACAGAGCTCTATATTTTAAAGGGAACTTCAAGCATAATGATCTTATAGCTTCAACAACAACAATTTTAAACTCATCAGCAATATCAGACATGAAATTTGTAATCTGCTTCATAAGACGGTCCACACTTGATTCATTTCCTGTCTTCAAAAGTGTAGTAATAGCAAGTGTAGCAATGCTTCTGTTCTGGTCAGAGATTAAACTCTCCATATCAATGTTGCAGTTAGTGACTGCCATTGGATGTGTCATTGCCACCTGCATAGTTCAAAGCCAAACTCAAAAATTATAAACAAAAATAACAGTCAAATTTGACCAAGACAAATTTCGTGACATAAGCTACAACACAATCGGAAAATTTTAATGATTTTCTATTAACTTCCCCAAAAGCATAGTGGTAAAAATGCAAAACGCTCACTCCAGAAGGGCAAGGATTGTCATATATCCTTTCTCAAATTCTATGAAAGCATAAAATGTATGTCTGTTGAAATTAATGTAATTAAGGAAGGTTAACCTTGTTCAAGGTGCGGACAGCAGAAAATCTCAAGACTGGCTTAGAAGAACTTAAGAAGAGCTGAAGAACAGTAATTGCTGGAGTTAATTCTCGGCTAGTTACACCATTGAGCTCTGTAATTGCCTTGGCAGCTTCAAAAATCACCATCTCTGACTTGTGACGAAGGCAACTCTCAAGAAAATCATAGAAGGGGCGGTCCCCTGATTGTGTATTATTTCCTGACTCACGAATAACCTGCAGATATTATGCTACATAAAGATTACGAAATAAATATCATCCCAGTGACATCTATATATAAAAAGGAAAACACACCTGACTTGTATAACGGATCAAAAGGCATTGAGCCAAAGGTGAGCGAACAGTTCCCCTTGTCAAGCTGGTAACCAGCTTGCTAACAGCTAGTCGATCATTCTGCCGTATCTGCAATGTTGTAAGTCACTATGTGTCACTAACTCTGTTCATAATTTATTTGTTTTCAGTGATAATAAAAGTAGGACCCTGAGAAGTTAAAATCAAATTCACATGATGTAGAAATTCATAGGAGGACTTCAGAGGAATAGAATTTGCATAGTGATCATGCACAAACATTAACTCCACAAGACAATCATATACAATCACGTAAGACAAGTTTCTGCTTATTTACCACAAGATGTTGAAAACAATCAAAGCATATACAACCTTTGTCAACTTCAGTAATACAAGGATCCTGACAGATACTCTGTCTTGAAAACTTTTTACAGCGCTATATGATGCAGCCACTTGTAAATTGCTGCTGTAGTTGAAGCTAAAAGTATGAACAGGACTATGCTAAAAGTTTTACCCGCAGAAGATGGCACAATACCATAAGATGGATAGAAAAGAAATCAAATATCAACTTCTGTAGTTGTGCTTCAAGAAGTTTTGCTTTCTTTTATTGTGGTAAAATCAGTTGCTAAAGACTAGTTCATACTGAAATTCAATGAATTTCAATTGTGATAAACCAAAAAACTGACCATGCAAGAAAGTACTCTTGCTACTGCTACATATCGCAATTCCTAACAACCAAATAATTATATTGCAGCATTGATTTACTAAATGATCTAGAAGGATGACAGAATTTTGACTTTTCAGTAGAATTTATTTTAATACACCATAAAACCTTACATTATCAAACCATTCATGACGCATACCTGATGTAGCAAAGCCAGTGCATGAAATTGTACAAGAGCTGCTCTTGATTGAACAGCTTCCTGAACCTCATTGCTCCACCTTTTTACAATCTCAGGATTTGTCTGAAAAGGGGGTCATAAAATAAGCAAGCAACATCTATGGAATATGCAGCTATAAGGAATTTGAATAATACCTGGAGTAGATGAATGCCACTAACTAGTGCTGCACTTGCAACGACTGGATTCTTATCTACAATTGCTTGTTTCAAATACCGCTCAATTTGGGTAAGGAGGGTTCCATCCGTGATACGACAAAGCACACGAATGGCATTTGCCCTATACATATCAGTCTTACTATTCATGTCCTTCATGAGAGAGCTTGTGACAATAATAACCTTTTAAACAAAATAAGAGATAGAACATTCAGAATTGAAGTTTGTAATACACAGACCACATCTGTGAATCTGACAAGTAATAAAAATTGCATGAGAATTTGTAACCTCATCTGCAGAGGGGGAGAGTTCCTTTATTATCAGGTAGACCATTCTCCTTAAACCAAGATCTCTAGACTGGAAAAGCTTAGTCACAGCAAAGAAAACTTCTGTGGCTTCGACCTGTGAAATTGCAGCAAGTACAAATTATTGAAAAATGATTAATAATGACTCTAACATAATTCTGCAAAGTCAATCTATAAATAAGCATGGATCTTTAAGAAAGAAAAATGATGAAGGAAAAACCTCTGGACCTTTGTAAACGTATCTCCCTGATTAAGTAGGTATAAAAGTTTTGTGATAACCTGGAAAAAAAGATAACAATCATACACAACGTCAAAATTCAACCTATGAATGACGATATGAAAACATAAGATAAATAAATAAATAAAAACCTGTGAACATCTCCTAGCATCTAGTTGTGGGTCATTAAAAACCCTGGCCTCCTGAAGAACAGCCCCCTTTTCAATTCCCAAAAAGGGGGAATACTCAGCTGTTAAACAACCAATGAAATCAGAATTAATAACTAAATATGAGCATTATGTCATTACACCAGCCTAACTCGAGACCAAAATGTCAAAAGTTAAAAAAGATCTATACTACATCTATCAACTCATTACCATGAACTTTTTCAAACAAGGAATTGCGCAGAATTAGTGATCTGCACTGCGAAATATACTATATGCCTAGATCAATTCAAGTTTCTACAAACGACGACGAACCAAAATCAGATCAAAAGAGAGGCAAGTCAGAGTTCAAACAACGCACTAATCCAATCCAAGTATCGTGATCTACGCGAACCCTACCGCATTCACAATTTGGAACGGAAATTAAACATTGGATCTGGAACCGAGACAGAGTGATCCAGCAGTGGCAACAAAGGGAAACTAAAATGCTAAGCACAAGCATGGCAGAGAGCAGATCGAATTGCGAAAGAGAAAGGCAGAAAAGTGGCATGGATATTGGTGAAGAAATGAATGAGGAAGGAATCACCTTCGTCGTCACGGTCATCGTCTTTCTTCACGAGCGGCTGAGCCATCGCCGGAGTAGGTGAATCTCTGAGATCTGGAAGCTACGCAATCTCTCTCTAGGTGCCTCTGCTAGTGCACCACTTAAGTTTACAAATGAAGAAACAAAGATGAAGAAGGAAACGCTTCGTTAAGAGGTCCTTGTAGTTGTGTTAGCAGATCCGGAGCGCACATTTAATTTTATAATTTATATTTACCTTATTCACCAAAAATGAAATATACATTATTTTCATAGGGAGATTATAATTATTATCTCTTACTACTAAATTTTAATTGTTGGTTTATGTAAATTTAATGATTGTAATTTATTAGGTCATACTTATTAATTAATTATTAATTTTTAAAAATTCTAAAAAAAGTTTTTAAAAGAATCTAAAAAAAAAAAAGGTTTTGATCACTATTGGAGTGGCAAGATACTTGCTAAAATACTATAAAAACTTAAAAAAACGATAATGGGAGAAAGAACGAAAGCAAAGCCTACCTATTTTTATTCATGCTTTTTGTTTTTGGTACACTGCGTTGTCAATAAAGGTGCTTCAACAGAAGTTATATACTAGCTGAGTTCTCAGGCTATGATACGAAAGAATTATATTTAGTAATTACCACATGGTTAATGTAATATTGGGATCGAGGTAAAGGTAGTACACTTATATTTCTTTTCGGGTCAACGCAACCCTCCAATTTTATCACTCATTCGTTCATGTTCATGGGCTGGGCTGGCCTTTGTCAATAGGTTCGTTTGAGGCCCAAAAGTTCCCTAATCAAAGCATATACGTTGTGGTTTATTTTCATATATTCTAATTTAAAAAAAAAAAATGTAAGTGTTGTTTAGGGGGCGTTTGTATTAGGATTTTTTTTAGATTTATGGGGAAGTAACATTGAGAATCTTATTTGTTCATATTTGGTACAAGGATTATGAAAATTTTCCTGAAAATTTTGATTTTATTATGATTCTGATTTGTGAATATTTTTTAAGGCAAAATATCTTACAGGAATATCACCTCCAATTTTGAATTCCCAGGAGGTGGGAAAAAAATTTAGCCTATACGCTACTAGAGCTTTTTGACCATTTTGTCCCTCATTAATTAATTAATAATCATTTTTTCCCTTATTCAAAACTATCCATCAATCTATCCATCTTTAATCGATTAACTTGAATATTTAATCGATTAAATGGTCAAAACAGGCAAAAATGGTTGACTCGAGATTTAATCGATTAAATCTTCTAACATGAAACAAAGGTAAAATCTCCTCCGTAAACAAAAGCAGAGTCCATGCATATGAAGCAAATCAACAAGTATAGATAACCAAACAAACAAAGAAACCAACAAATTCACCTCTTGATGAGCATATCTCCTACATGGTTTCTTTGTTTATGAGAGATGTCTCTGCGTCCGGATAGTGAATTTTAGGACCCCCAGCAAAATAAGCAAATAAAAACATTGGATTCCTACAGATCATATTGAATTCACATTAGGAGAGATTCTATATGAACCAAGCAAAACCACAGAAATGAAAATTGCGAGCGACTGGTAAGTTCTCAATTGTTCGATTTCCTAAAATTTGGCACAAATTAAACCCTAGAATTGGAGGGAAAACGAAGAATCGAAATTAAATAAAGAACAGGACTTCTATAATCAAAATCTCAGAAAGAAAAAAGCTTAGCTGAAAGTGAAATTCATCAAAGACAAAAAAAGAAGATGGAGAGTTAAAGGAATTAACAATACCCAGCCATCAATGGAGGACCCGTGGGAGGTGATACCGTATTGTAGAAGTGATAAGCAAATCAACAATCGAGTTTTCCTTGTTATCAAGAGGTGAATTTGTTGGTTTCTGTTCTGTCCTTAGGACAGAGATGTCTAGCCCAGTTAGGCTAGTAAGTTGGTATCGGATCTGATATCCTCTCCAAGGTATCTATGAGAGAGATACCCTTGAGTCGGGAAGATCACTGTGCACAGGATATAATGAGGGCGTTTAGCCAATGGAGTGTGTGTGCACAGTGACATCATAACCATTAGAGAGAGAATGTGTGTACCTTTTAGGGTTTGCCCTGGTATTTATAGAGGTTACCTGTAGATAGCTATGCTGACACATCAAGTGGGTAGCTATGCTGACACATCAAGTGGATAGTTGTGCTAACTCAACAGCTCTTTGGATTCCCCCTTGTTGGGCTTGTTACTTAATGGGCTCATCGTATGGGTCCATAACAGTTTCTTTGTTTGTTTGGTTATTTATGCTTTTTGATTTGCTTCATATGCATGGAATCTGCTTTTGTTTATGGAGGAGATTTGATCTTTGTTGCCACCTGTTGGGAGATTTAATCGATTAAATCTCGAGTCAATCTTTTTTGTCTGTTTTGACCATTTAATCGATTAAATACTCAAGTTAATCGATTAAAGAGGGGCAGATTGATAGATAATTTTGAATAAGGGGCAAAATAATTATTAATTAATTAATGAGAGTAAAATGGTCAAAAAGCCCGCTACTAGGGCCAAGTCTTCAAGTAATATTTTCTTCTCGGGCAAATAGGGCGATGATGTCGCCACTAGCGCTAGCAGTGTGTTTTTTAAAGTCACCTTATATTTTTAGTAATATTTGACAATCAACCAAACATAGAATCAAGAAACTTGAGCCAACATTCCTAATAATATTTTAACCTATCAAACAGTTTTTTAGTCACATTTTTGAAATTTTCACTTTCACAACATATTCTTGGTAATCGTGATTCCTAAGCATAAAATAAAATCTCCTCTACTAAATATCTCCTTAATTATTTTTTAAACAAATTTAATTAATTATATTTGATTAATTAATTACTAGTGTAATTTTACCAGCAATCACTTGCAATCACATGCAAGTAGGCATTCCATAACAATATGTGACTATTGATTTTTCTTTAAAAAAATAAAGGGGAAAAAAATTCTCACAATATAGGAGAATTCTTTCTTCTAATTGTGAGACATCGAATTATGTGTAATTATTTTTTTTAAATTTTTTATTTTTAATGGGGGTGGGATCTATCAAATTTTATATCTATGGAGAAATAATTCTCTTATAATATGAGAAAAAAAGGACCCAGAAATTAATTACAAACTGTAACGAATATATTATATTATTATTATTATTATGGAAAAAATATTTGTCATTTAAAAAGAATATAACTTTGTGTCAATTTAGATCCTAATCATTGATTTTCATCAATCAATAATTATAATTTGTTAGGTTAAATTTATTAATTAATTAGTAATTCGTAATAAATTATAATTGACAAAATCAACAGTTAGAATTTAAAATGACAAAAAGGTATATCATTAAAATAAGGGATTTGCATTTGTCATTTAATATGACACAACAAACTTTTCTACACACACAATATTTTGTGGGCCCACACTTTTTGAAAAAAAAAAAGAAAAAAAGAAATTACGACACACAAAACAAATCTCTATAACATTACACAATTACTTTTCCTACAGCATAACTCTTGTAAAACCCTTAAAATAAAATACTTTTCTCTATTATTATTGGGATAGGATATTGTGACACCCAAGTTATGTTACACTCATGTGACACCCAGTCAATCTCACCGTTAGATCGCTTATGTTGATCCAACGGTTATATTTATTTCCATCTTTGTATGGTCATGATTTCCCAAATTTAATATTGTATATTTATTTCTACCTTTGTATGGTTATGATTTCCCATATTTAATGCTTTCACTTTAAATTTGGAAAATCATGACCATACAAAGATGGAAATAAATATAACCGTTGGATCAACATAAGCGATCTAACGGTGAGATTGACTGGGTGTCACATGGGTGTAACATAACTTGGGTGTCACAATATCCTATCCCATTATTATTAGATTAATTTATTATTATTACTACTGAAGCTCATTATTATTAGTTACAGCTGTCAGCAGGGGAATATTCGTCCTTCTAGATTAAGAGAGAGAGAGAGAGAGCGGTTGCAACTTGCATATAAAGTTAGAGAGAGGAAGGAGGGAGTAGAGGTTCAGAGTTGTTTAGCGCAGAAAAACGAGTCAACACAGAAAACTGAAAGCTGTTAGTGTTTTCTTTCTCCGATCAGTTTCATTGGTACGATGCCTTCCCGAAGAAGAACTCTCTTGAAGGTCATCATTCTCGGTGACAGTGGGTGAGTCTATCTTTTCTTTTCTTTATCTCTCTCTCTCTTATGATTTTCGATTCTAGGGTTTATTTTTTCCGCTTAATATTCTACAGATCTCTTTAGTCTTCATACTATCCAACAATACTCGCATCTTATCCAAGTTTAACTTCTTCGTTTCATTCTCATTATTCGATTTCTCCGAAGAATTTTGTCTCTTTCTGTTTTTTTTTTTTTTTTTTTCATCCTGTTGCGAATCTCCGTTTGTGCAAACATTTTTATGCTTTTCGTTTGGATCATAAGAAGCATAGCTACGTAAATCGTTTGGACACTTGCAATCATGCTAAGTTGGTTTATGAGTTACAAAGATTTATGGTTTCTTTTTAACACTGTAATGTTTGTTGATGCTTTGCAGGGTGGGGAAGACATCTTTGATGAATCAGTATCCTTAGGTTCTTGTGTAGTAACTCCTTATTCTTTACTTATTTTAATTTTCAATGCAATTTTTCCTATTGTTTAGTACAGTACAGGGTTATGTTTTGAATATCTATATATATGTATTTTCCCTAACATATATATTTTAGATATGTGAATAAAAAGTTTAGCAATCAGTACAAGGCAACCATTGGAGCTGATTTTTTAACCAAAGAAGTGCAATTTGAAGATAGGCTTTTCACCTTACAGGTGAGTCAATAGTGCTCAGCTTGTTTTGCAATGCATGAAAGTGACTTTATTCTTAAGCCTTAAGACCAGGTAAGGTCGTAGATGTCTGGGATCCTGTGGAGTGGGAAACAGAAGCATAACTTAGAGCCCAGATTTACAAATAGCGACACTTATTTTTGTTGAGTCTTATCTTTCTGATATTACCTAGATGTCCCTATCTTATGCATTATCTTAATGGAGTCTTTCTGGTGGAAGATTGTGAGTTAGGCTGTTTGAGCTTTTCAGATATTACACTACGAGTGGGATACATGTGTCAGAATATTAAGTCTCACTCTTGCAGTGTGCTGTGTGAGACCTATGTAGCTTTCTTCCTTGTTAAAATGTTTGGCCTATTCTACATCTCATATTTATCTTTGTATTTATTGAAAGTTTTGTGTTACATTAGACAAAGTTTTCTTTTTTTTCTTTTTAATTTGTTATTATTCTTAACTTTGCAGATTTGGGATACAGCTGGACAGGAAAGATTCCAAAGCTTAGGAGTTGCTTTCTATCGTGGTGCTGATTGCTGTGTCCTCGTATATGATGTTAATTCAATGAAATCATTTGACAACCTTAACAACTGGAGGGAGGAATTTCTGATCCAAGTATGCCTGTTTTCCTCTCTCAGCATAAATTTATCTATTTTATCTATTATCACAAGCAATGTTGTAAAGATTTTATAAATCTTAAGATCTCTTATCACTTTGGCAGGCAAGTCCTTCCGACCCAGAGAATTTTCCTTTTGTTGTTATAGGAAACAAGATAGATATTGATGGTGGGAATAGTAGAGTGGTATGTTTTTTAAGTTTGATATTTTCCGTGTTCCTTTTCTTCCTAAACCTTGCATAAATCATATACATTCATACTCATAAAACACTTAATAACGTACTGTCAAACAGATGAACACAAATAAGTTATTGTGTGCAGGTTTCAGAGAAGAAGGCTCGGGCTTGGTGTGCATCAAAAGGAAATATCCCTTATTTTGAGACATCTGCCAAGGAAGGTGTTAACGTTGAAGAAGCATTCCAATGCATAGCAAAGGATGCCCTGAAAAGTGGAGAAGAGGAAGAATTGTAAGTTTTTAAGCATGTGTAACTCGTCTTTTGTATATGTGAACACACTAAGGCACAAATACATAAAGTTTGGTCTCTATTATGATATGGTGTTTTGGTTAGGGGTTTGGTCCTAGTAGAGTTCTAGCTCACTATATCTATGTTGTATCTTGAAATTGGAATATATATATATATATATTAGTAATGTTTGATTACAAAAGGGGGCGAATAGGAGCAGTGGCAAAGCTGCTCCTTCATGACCAAAAGGTCATGGGTTCGAATTCAGGAAACAGTCTCTTTGCAATTATGTAAGGGTAAGGTTGCGTACAAGGATTATCTCCACCCCGCACTCGCTAGTCGGGTTTAACGGGAAGTGATTTTTTTTTTTTTTCAGTATACAATAAAAAATATGGATTTGGGGCATCCATTATAAGTTGCTAGCTGATGTTATTTGTATTTTGTAAATTGCATGTTTCTGTTTTTTATTTTATTTGTCGGCAGCATAAATTTTGGTTTTCACTTAGCAGCTTGCTTGAACCTTGGAGACTGCAATATAATTGTACTTGTAAATATGAAGAGTACTAAATGGGACAAATTTTTTCAATAATCTTGAATGGGTCAAGAGGGTGAGCCTTGGAGCACTGTAAGTTTGCTCCTTTGTGACCGGAAAGTCACGGGTTTGAGTGTGGGAATTGTCTCCTACAACAATATTACAACTCCTCTGAGAATCAGTATTGAATATGTTGTTTGTACCCTGCAACTGAGTATCGGTGTATATTCCCTTTGCAGTATTATTTGTAGTTACCCTGAGATCATGGATCTTTTTATTTATTGAAAATTGAATTATTCCAATGTTACTGATTTCACGTTTTGGGTTTTGTTTTCTATGTGGTAATTTTGTGCTTATTGAAGATACCTGCCAGACACAATTGATGTTGGAAACAGCAATCAGCAACGGGCAACAGGATGTGAGTGCTGAATATATAGATTTTCTTTTCAATACAAATAAAGTATATTACTTAAAATGATTCCGCCGTGTTTAGCCATTGCTGTCTGTGAGGCTTCATTGTACATTAAGTGTTTTTCAAGAAACAAATTGGTCCAAGGCTATTTGTTGGGTTCTTGTTTGGTTTGTGTTAATTGTCATATTAGATCTCCTTGTATGGTATTCTGATATTGTGAAAGAAACAGCATAAGATCATTCTGTAGTTATTTGTTACATTGCTTATTTTTCTTATCCTAGATAAACAATATTGTACGTCTTATTTTCATTGTTCTACAAACTTGTGAGCAACCAGGGTGGTTGCAGTCTAGGGTGTACATTAATCACGCTAAGCCAGACTTTAGACTAAATGGGCTAAACTTGTGTAAAATATTTCAAGTTTGGCTTGACTTGTTAGTCTTGTACAAGCCAAATTATAAGCTTGGTTGGCTTTTTAAAAATATAAGGCAAGGCTTGGCTTATCAAGTTTACCAAGCATTAAAAAATGGCACGTTGCACTCCCTAAAATAAAAATATAGGTTATAATTATTTTGTTTCTTTTGCACTCCGTAAAAAGTATAAAGAATGAGGACTTACTATTAGCTGCAAAAGTTTTGATGGTCGATGGTGAACGATGAATGGCTTGGAATGAAGAAAAGAAATGGGTAGAAGAATAACGAAATTTGGCGAATGAGGGAAGAGAGAAGAGCGGTGATAACGAAGAAATTTAGTATTAAAAAAATGTATTTCCAAGTGAGAAGAGAGAACATTGCAAAAAATTTAAAAATCATAAGATATTATTTTATTAAAATATATCAAGATAAATAACAAGATATTATTTTATTAAAATATAATAATATATTAATTTATTAAAAAATAAAAAGAAACTATTTTATTAAAAAAAATATTATTTATTAAAAAAATATTATTTATTAAAAAAAATGAGCCAGGCTTGGAGGCTGAGGCTAAGCTTACTAAAATCACCTTGTGGCCCCATTTTTAAATAAATCTTTTGATGAGCTCCAACATATGTTATTTTTAAAATAGGTCCAAGTCTGGCTAAGTTGTATGCCCCTAACAAGGCTCTGGTTCATTTACACCCTAAGTTGTGGTTGTATAGAGCTTCAGCTATCAAAATTCTCTTTCTCTCTCTCTCTCTCTAATATTCTAGAGTTCACAATGAATTCTTCAAGAATTGCTCCTCAGTAATCTTTTATTGGGTCATTTAATGATAATATTTGATGTTGATTTGGTTTATGTATTGCTACATAGTTATAATGTTAAAGTTTTTTTTTTTCTCCATAAATTTTTTAGAAATTTGTCAGCTGACATTGAGATTTTTTTTTTCTTCATATTATAATTAAGTACTTTCCATAATAAAAAATAAAAATTTATATCCTTTAAAAGGACATATATTAAACCCATAAAATAAATAAAAGCGTCCAGGCCTACGATGTCCTTAGCTTCGTGTTTAATTAAGGCGAGGAGATTCGCCCACTGTTATAATGCAAACAATGTTTCATGGATTCCTTTCATCTTCATCCTGACAGATGTTTGGGATAAGGCTTTCTCAAATTTATGTAAATATTGCTTGCGAGGAATTTTCTTTAAAGGGGTGTTTGGTAGGAGGAAAAAAAAAATTTGTCTGAAAAAAGAGGGTAGGAAAAAATATGTGACCATGTTTGGTAAGAAGAAAAGTTACTAGGGGTATGAGAAATTTTTATCCTGGTGGTAAAATTTTACACATAACATAATTAAAATTCATCCAATTTTCTTGAAAAAATTTTGACGTACTAAACACTTTTTTTAACTTACCCAATAAAAAATTCTTTCCATCATATTCGGAGCAGATTTATTTTTCTGATAAAAAAAATTTCTCCTATGCCCCTTAAAGATTAAGGGATCGGGAAAAGGTTTGACGAAGACGAGGTGTGAAAACGTTTCTGTATAACTACGACTTACAGGGCACAGACTAGATGAATTAGTTTTTCAACAAAGTATTAAACAACTATATGATTCCCCAAAAAGAAATTCAAAAAAAAAAATTGAAATAAAAAAATAGTGAATCACATTTATCTGCGAGTACGTAAATACATCATCAACTAATTGGGTCGGGAGTTACGAGTATGTAAATATTGTTCATAAATCATAATTATTGTCGGGATGGAAGATTGCTAAGGTTTCATGGAGTCGTGCATGAATTGTGAGGCTGAAAGGATTTTTACATAAATAATGGCCTACAATTTCTTGGTTTTCTCTCGCTTTGATCTTAGCGAACTCCAGGCAGCAATACTACAAAACAAAGGCAAAGGAATAATGAATACATGCGTAATATTAGTACGTCAGGTAGCAACTAAGAATAAACATGGAAGCAGATCCTACGACATACGGGAATATAATAAAATGGACCTGTTAAAAGTCCGCTGAAAAGGGAGGTTCCTCGACCTACAAAGTGAAGTGGGAAAGGAAGGTTGAGATGCATATCAAAATAAAGAAATGATAGGGGAAAAAGAAACCATCTCGGGTAGCCAATACTTGTTTTGAGCATCCCCAAACAGCTATATATTCTTTATAAAGTAATACAAATTTCACTATGCTCTATCCAAGAATGAAGTAGTGAATGGCATGTAAGTTACAGGACAACAACTATCCACTTGTTCAAGTTCAACGCCTCAAAAAAAAAAAAAAAAAAAAAAAACAATCGCTCTACTATTTCTATTACTCCGTCCTCTCATCTCTGGCTGCTCCTAATAACGGGGAAAAGATGAGCTTCAAATGCACTATTCTGGTCACTGAATTCCCAATAGTTGTCAATTTGGAGTTAGTCCTAGCCAGCACTTGACCTTTGAAAGAAATGGCTGGATCAAAAAATTACCATAGGTTAATAATGCAAACAACAAGTGTTAAGACTAGAACCAAGCAAGTATTTAATGTGGTAATCAAGTTATTTGGCTAGTAAAAGTATTTCACAATATTGGTCAGTATATATTTGGCATTGTCCCAGGGCAACCAAACAATTTGTCAATATAAAGAATAAAATAAATAAAGATGGAAGAGGCATCCGTTTTATTGCGACCAATGAAATTCTCCTATTGGCCAACATAAAATCGATTAGCTTCTCCATGAAAACAACTCTAAAAGGTATTCCTTAGCCAAAAAGGAGTCAACTCATCTCTAGAGCATATATAGTTCTAATAGAAGCATGCGCACAATGAATGGAAAAATAAAATAGAACGGATCTAGTACTGTTTCTATACAAAAGAAGTACTATGGTTTCATTTCAGTTCTCGTACATCATACTTGATCAAACCTATTAAATGGAATGATATTGTAAGAATGGGGAGTTGAGGGCAATGTTGCACCAAAAGGAGAGGCGACAAAATCCATGACTTCCATCATGCTGGACAGCTATTATTCTCAAGTTGAAATATTTCAAGTTTTAATCTACATAAACTTACCAAATATTCTCAAGCTGTATTCCAAATGTTTTACTTCCTTAGCATTTCCTAATTCTTGTCCCTTTGCTTAATTTCTTTTCTCTGTTACTTGTTTTAAAACACCCGCCATTGACTAAATTATTCTAATAATATTCAACTGAGGTACTCTAAGCAATATACTATCATAAACTAACAAAAAAATCCACAACAAAATGAAAATGCATACTCACATTGTCAAAATGGTGGCAGGTGATCAATAAGTAAGAAGACAAGAACTTTTTCCCATATTTACTCAATATTTAGCGTGTCCCAACAGAAGAAAGCTTTTCCTGGCTGGATGGCCGAACTGAATTTCCAGCTGCAGTTGCAGATGCTAATGGGTTTGGAAGAGTGGTAGCTACAGTGCCCACCGGTCTAGAAATCAGTGGCCTTTGGGGATTCATCATGATTTGTGATCTTGGGAGTGAGTTTGCAAAATTGATAGGAATTCTATTGGTTGGTAAGGATGGTGTTACGCCTCTAGATGAGGAAGCTGGTATACCAAGCCGGGACGCAATTATTAGAGCACGCTCATGGTAAAGCCTACGCCGTGACCGCTCCAAATGCTCCTTTACCCTCATCACCACATTCTCCACATCATTGAAAAAAGCCATTTTTGTTTCCAACTTATGCAACTGTTTGTAAGTATATGGAAGTTACCAAGAAAATCAGAGGAAGAGAGCATATAAATACAATGCAATGAGAGCTTTACTAGACCATGAGATTACCTGCTTTTCTATCAATGAAGAAGTAAGTTGTCGGATTTGGTCTTCTTCCAGATTTGCTAGAAGTTTTGCCTTTACTGCTGCTGCAGCAAGCGTAGAAACTGCAGCACGTTTCAATTTCTCAGAACTGTTATCCTGTTTAGACTTTGTACCAACATCTTTCACTGTTGTGCCATTTTCTGCATGATCTTGACCTGCCCCTGTATGAAGGACTAAAATTGTATTATGACAAACACTAATCAATTACTGTGTCAGACCTTGATTGCTCCAGTACATCTCTTATAAGTTATAACATTTCATGAATATTGTGTATAAGTAAATGACAGAGAGAAAGAGAGAGAGACCTGTATTTGCGTCATTTTCAGCACCAGAATTTGATCCAACTGGATGTGAAGGTGATATCATATCTACATCCTTTTCCGTCCCATTATATTGGGATGATGTTGATGTAGATAGTGGCTGGGATTCTATCTTCTCTAATGGCAAGGAATTAGAAACCATATCAACATCCATTACTGAGTCTGTCGGTTCCAGAGACTCACCAACTGAATTTGTAGAAAGTGGTTTTTGAGGCATGTCTGAGGGCATAGAATCAGACACCATCTCGGCAGATTTTGGTGTATCTGATGGCTTTGGATGCTCTTCCGGTATATTGGATTTAATTGACTGTTGGAGTTCTTTCTTTTCTGATGGAAGAGAATCAGATGCATGCCCGTCCTTTAGTTCCTCTACAAGATGGCAAGGTTCTTCTATCAGAGTTTTCTCCTGAACCTCCTCAGAACTAGGTGGAATTTCAGCCTTGGATGTTGAACCACCTGAATCATGCATAGCGCCCGGTGCTTGATCATTGGGTAGCTTTGAATTGCTGGGATCATTACAATTGCCGAGCCCACACTCATGATTAATAACTGCTTTCTCCTTTGAAGAAATTGGTTTATCTGTGGCTCCATCAGCTGTAGAAACCAGCTGTCTCTTGTCTTCTAAAGCATTATTTCCAATTTTCATGTTATTGTGATCATTTGGTAAATCTTTATCATCTAACATCGGTTTATCCTGTTTTACATTTATGTCATCCTGGTCTCCCTCACTTTTAGAATCCCTATGATCCATTCAGACACAACATTGTAAGTCTCAATCAACAACAATTGGATAGTTATGGAACTGCCAAAATGCAAACTCTCCACATAAACCACATACCTCTCAGAACTACTTGGTTCCTTCTTATTATCTGGTGGATCTTCCAGAAGAAAGCAACACCTTGCAGCAAGCTCAGTGCCAGGATAATTTCCAGACATGGATTTTAAGGAGCTATGAGCTGAAGCAACGGCCAAATCAGAACCCACCAAACGTGCAAGGAAAGCTGCCTGCAGAAGAAAGCAACATAACATAACTCGGCAAGAGGGAATGCATAAACAAGGTCAGAACCAGCATTTACAGCTAAATATAACAATTAATCCAAGATTTTTTGTTCTGAAGAGAGGATGCTTCCATTAAATAATTCAGACTAGATACTTTAGCCATACCCAAAAAGCAAAGAACCAAAAGTTCTGCTGTTCATACACCTAAGCTAAACGTTTAACTTACCAATGCCATGACAGGATTACCCACTTCAGCAAATGAAGATGGGCCTTCAGGTCCAGGAGAATAACCAACCGCTGCAAATGCTTCCTTAAGAGCATTTAGAGCACAGTCCTTGCCTGCATCCTGACCAAATTTCACTTCAACAGCATCTTCTTCTGATTTAGAAGTTCCCTCACTAGTTTTCTCATCACTACCATCTTGTAACTTTGGAGCCTCCTGACTAACTTTCACTTTAACATCTTCAGCCTTAGAAGTTTCATCATTGCCTTTGATGATATCACTAGCGTCATTCTCTATAAATTCTGAAGCATCATTGTGCACAGAGGAATCGTTGTTTTTTGCAGCTGGATCTGCAGTTTCTTTGCAACCAGCATCAATATCGTCATCACAGTCAACAAAGGTATCCTCAATTGGCATTTGAACAAAGTGCAATATGCACTGAGCTTTTGATTTTGTTCCAACATGTTCTGCAATTTCATTCCAATTTTCTTTATAAAGTTCTAGTGCTTCAAGGAGCAGAAGGGTCTCCTGATCAGACCACTTTCCACCACTGACCCCTGCAACTTCAGCTGGTTCCATGAGTATAAAATCCAACGAAGACATGCCAGAGCCAAATCTTCTATTACTAAAGCAGTCGGTACATAGGTCAAAATCTGCCTGTCAGTCACATCACAGAACTGATAAAATATACAACATGAAGTGGAGAAACAAATTAAATAATCATCAATTACCTACATTCCAGCAATACATGAGTGATAATTCAACAAATAGTCAAATAGTTAACCAGCTTGTCGCCAACAAAATTACAAACAACCATTACAACAAGAAAATCAAGCAACATAAACAATGACCTTTTAAATCAGCAAACACTTGGCCTCTCTTGATGAATGCAATTCTTTGTGAGTTCACTAGTATTTGAAATGGTTCCTCTATGGCTTAATGAAATTTTCCTTTTTAAATCAACAATTCCACTACTCTAGAAATGTTCCTTTAGGGCACTTGATGAAAAAATATTTTGAAAGATCTAGTTCAATTCAGATAAGATTGTAAACTGAATACGTGCCATAGAGCCACAAAGGTAATTAACACAGTCTTTTTTGGAGACATTAGCAATAAAAGTTACCAAATAAGATTCCCAGAAGCAAAATGTGCTAATAGTTAAACTCATCATGATGGAGGGAACTAAACTACAAGTACATCAAGCAATGGAAAAAATGATACAAATTTTATAAGAACAACAGGTTTAGGACTGTTAGAATAGATATGATCAGATTACTTCCTATCTTTGTAAATATTCTTTTGGATTAGTTCTGGGCTTCTCACTTAAGCCCATTAGGGTCTCTATATATTGTAACTCTTTGTATCAGATTAATACACAACATATTATTTCATATTCAAGTTGGTATCAGAGCCTTGTGTCCCAGGTTCGATTCTCACCGCCCCCCACATTATTTCTAGTGGAATTTCTTTCTTCGCACAGGTAAGGGGGCCTGTGCATTGTCCACCCTTCAAGCCCAATGGGCTCTCGTGTGAGGGGGCGTGTTGAGATATATAAAACCATTCATGTATCCTCACCCAATAGCTTAAGCTTTTGAGTTGAATTGATTCTTTACATGGTAAGTAATCTAATCATATCTAATCACTTCATGGTATCAGAGGCTGGTTCCGATCCAGGGACTTGTGGGTTAGAGGTCCTCGGGTTGAATTCATTTATAGCAAGCTTGGTGCTCACAATATATACACACCAGCTTGAGGGAGAGTGTTAGATTAGATATGATTAGATTACTTCCTATCTCTGTAAATATTCTTTTGGATTAGTTCTGGGCTTCTCACTTAAGCCCATTAGGGTCTCTATATATTGTCACTCTTTGTATTAGATTAATACACAACATATTATTTCATATTCAAGTAGGACAACAAGCATTTGAGTAGTATACAAGGAAGTATAACTCAAATAAATTTACTTCAGGTTAAGCTAAATCTTCAACACATCACTAAATTAGGCACTTCAATGACTTATTCAGTTATAATGAACAACCTGCTTCTGGCAATGGTAGCGTTTGCGAGAACAATCAGCAGAACAAGAGTTGCAATGGTACTCAAGCATCTCAACTGCTGGGCCCTCTTGTTTCACCAACTCTTCAGCAATTGTAGACTCTGGAAACAAACCAGAGTTCAGGGCTGGAGTCATTAGGCTAGTCTTTTGAACAACAGGAGGACGTAATTGGAGATTTTCAAAGTGATACAATTTTTCAAGCAAGGAATTCTTTTCTGCTTCCCCATCATCACTGGTGCTGGCCACAGCAGAATCCACAGAAGGGAATGGGTGGAAATTAATTAAACCCCAATAGTCCAGAAACTCCATTATCTCTTGCCTAGCATCCAAATCTCCAACATTAAGCTCTGACAAATCTTTTAATTCAACCTGTATGCTTGGATTTGAATGAAACTTCTTCATTATCCAATTCCGTATCTCCATGTATATATCATGAGTCCGATTTTCAGTTTTGCCATTAAAGAAAGAAGGCAACATACGCTTCTCAATTGGATGGATATCTGACCACGAAAACCAACCTGAAATTCCATCCAAGGATAAAATGGATAATTCAATAATAAAGCTTTTATCTTCAGGTCAAAGCTAGGGTTACTGCAATTAAATATTGAACCAATGGAAAATCAACCACCTAAAAATTAAATGATTTCAAGATTTAAGGGTAATCCAAAGGGACTCTTGGGTCACCAAGGATTTGCATGACGGCATTACTAATATATTGTTGGACAACAGATGCATTGTAATTAGAGCTAAATGATATGTACATATGCAATTAGTACTTATATTATTCCTTTCTCTAGGTTCTGCAGCACACTTACTCCCAGTAGTATGGATGATATGATTTGTATGTGGTTTCTTCTTTTTTGGACTTAAGAAAGTTCAGATATACTCAGTCAGTATGCACACAGTTCTTCCTGATCTTCCTCACACTTATCTACTAAAGACAACAGTCCATAAATTATTCAAGTCAAAAGCTCAACATAAGGATCACAACAACAATAATCTTGTGAGTTAAGCTCTATTATTAAGGTGGGAAAACAGTATGAAAAAGACGATTCATTAGGTAACCTAAAACAGAAAGCAAGGAGTTACATTATCATCAATTATTTTGCAAAGTAACATCAGGTCAGCTTGGCCTAATCAAATTTCAGAATTTAGAAAAACCACACACAATTTCCTGTACCAACCTGTTCTTTTTTCTAATACTACTGTAATTTAAATTAAATATACGACCAGGGTGGGAAGGCAAAAAACACCTCAAAATTTCAAACAACTACACATACTTGGGGCAATGTAATTTAAATTGCTAATACCAGTAGAATTAGAAAGAAGAGCAAACTGGAAATGATAAAAACTCGGGCAGACAGAATCTATCATATGCCAATTTAGCTGAATCAGTCGTTTGCAGAACATCAAGCGAACAACAATCTAATAAAGTCAAATACATAATGTGTTTTACACTATTCATTGTAGCGAAACCCGAATTCAAGTCCCAAAAAACTAAACGCAAACAAATTAGGGTTCGACAATAAGCACAAAGCCTCACCACAATGAGTCGGAACCACGTGAGCATTGGTACCACGAGATCTGATTGCTTCGAATTCCGCTTCGATCGCAGCTTCTATAGATTCCCACTCGCTCTCCTTCTCGAGCTGCTCCGCCAGCGCCACCGAGTCTCCACCCAAAGCCTGGGTCTGAGAACCACGTTCCGAGTGTTTCACCGCGGCGGGGGCAGAAGCGGAGCCGCCGCCAGCAGCCGAATACAACGCGGCGGAGGAGAGGTTGCTGGGGATTTGCCGAGCCCTAGTCAAGGGACCATTATGGAGGGGAGGAGGGTGAAGAGGCGATGCCTTCTCGCGTGTAATGCGTTTGGAGGGCGTCGACGAGGAATTGGAGGCGTTGAGAGCGCTGGCCTTCCTCTTATGGCTTCCGGCGCGGCGGCGCGAGGATGCAGGCTCCGACGCCGGCGAATTGACGGTGGGAGGAGGGTGAGACGCGGCGTCGCGGCGTTTCTCCTCCATCGAGATGAGAAGGTCTTAGGGGAAAATGGTTCAGTGCGACTGTGCTTAGCTTCCTAACATATACGTCATCACATCGCTCATTTGCTACTTCCAGATTCGCCTTTTGCTGCTTACACACTCGACAATTGCGATTGTGTTTACTTTTATTGAACAAAATGCTCTCTTACTCTATTTTTTCTTTTTCTGCTTTTTGGTATGAAGCTCTCTTACTTGGAAAAATCTGTAGTGCAAGTTCAGTATATCGGTAATTTATTTATATTTAGATAAATTTTGTGCAAATTTTTAGAATATTCTAAGATAAATAAATTATGAATGCACTGAAATTTTATCCCTTGTTCTAGCACCCATAACTATTATTAAATATATATATATATATATTTATATATATATATTTATATATATATGAAAAAATATTTACTTTAATTAAAATACAATTTAATGTTCAAAAATGAAATTCACAAATGAATCATTGTACGTACTGGTTATTAAAAACACAAGTTTTAATTTACAAAAAAAAAAAAAAAAAAACAAAAACAAGTTTTAGAAAAATATGTTAAACAATTCTAGGATAAATGAACTACCGATACACGGAATTGCACTAAAGTTTTAGTTTTGTTCTTTGTTTCTCTTACTCAATAACACCCATAACTATATATATATATATATATATATATATATATATATATGAAAAAATATTTACTTTAATTAAACTACAATTTAACTCGATTGATAAGTGAATTGTGTCCCAAGAATGAAATATGTGTTCGATCCTTTGCAGATGCTCTTTAGGTCAGAGATGAATACCCTTGCACTCCAAGCCTTTGATGAGAGGATTAGTATTGCCCTTGCTCCGGTAATAATGGTTCAATGCATTTTCTATTTCAACGAGGAACTAATTTTAAAGCCGTATTCCGAGAACAAGGTGACTGAACAAGATTGAGTGGGAATATCTTCATGAAAATTTTAAAAAATAAAATAAAAAATTACAATTTAATGTCCTAAAATGAAATACACGAGTGAATTGTTGTACTAGTTATTAAAAACACTAGTTTTAGAAAAATGTGTTAAGCAATCCACCAACTTATTACAAGTTTATGATATGTACATGAATCAAAAATAAGAAAATCATACGGCAAAAATATTTTAACTGTCATTGTGCAAGTAAATCCAGTTTCACATTAATGCAACAATAAATATTACTAGCATATGTTTGTGTTTTATATATATGATAAAGTCATAAATATATATATCCTAATTAAGTCATAAATAAAGGCTTGTAACATGACTAAAGAAAATGTTAATTATACATTATCTCTTACCTTTGTACAAGTAATAAAATCAGTATATATAAATATAAAAAAAAATGAAATAACCAAGTAAAAAAATTATATTAATCTAAAATGATACGCATAATTAAGTAAATCTACATGACATTAATTATTCGGTTGAAAACTTACAAAGAAGCGAGAACAAGTATGGTCACAGACTCACAGGTCAGTGGTGTGAAGGATAGGCAAGAGAAAAAGCGAAAATCAAGAGGATAATCTGAAAACAAAATCACAACAGTATTAGGATGAAATCATTGATGGCTCAATATTACACATTCCTTTGCACGAGATAATGATTTCACGTGGGTATGTAGTTGAAAAACTTACATTTTAGATTCCAGTTCCACTTAAACCAAGTTTAGTCAATGATTCTTTATTTAATTGGCCTTGACAGTTGCCACTTTTTGCAACTGAAATGAAACAGTGGAGTACGTGTTAGTTTATTGTCAAATCTGAATTGTCCTCTGAAATATATTGTTCCAGCAAGTGGATCAAAATTATTATGGTTATGTGTATATCTGGTCCTCCAAAGCGGTTTGTTTGCAAAGTATATTACTCTTCTTCATAAAAGCAGGGTTAAGAAAGTATAATCTTTTTAAAAACGAAACCGTTTTCAATGCTCTCCAAAGGTTATGGAGCATTGGTGTTCCATTTACTTTATTTGCTAGGATCGGTTGCTTCAATTAAAATAAAAAATTAAAACCCAAGTTAAAATGTTTTTTAATAGAAAAACGTGGTTAAAGATGAGCTAACGTTGTGGATTATGTAACACTCTTTTTTTTTTTTTTATACAAAAAAAAGAGTTGCAAATTTTAATTTAATGGATTTGTGAAATATCTCCTTAGATAAAAAAATATTATTAGAAATTTTAATTTAATTTTTTAATTCAATCCTAATAGAGTTGCAAATTATATTATGACTTCCTAAACTTATCAAAATCATGTTTTAAGCAAAGATTTAATTGTAAATAATTAAAATATTACAATAATTAGGGACAATTGTGAAGGGTAGTATTGCGAAATCGTCAAGTATACCGTTCATTTCAAGTAATAAAGTGATAAGTAGAGTATCGTTCCCACGATGATTAATGCACCAAGTACTAGTTTAACTAGTCCCCTTAAATTGGAAAATAAAAATTGGTTTGGTTTGTGAAAGTAATTTAAAAACAGAATTTAAAATAAAATAATATTTAAAAACAGAAAATTTAAAAACAATTAAAGTTGAACGCATGTAAGAGTATCAAGAACGTAAGAGAATATTGATGAAAAATTTGTAAAAAGGTTGTAGCCATGATGCACTTCACTTATGATCCTCCCTTATATTCATATATTGTATTTTATAATTAATTAATTCGTTTGTTCAGACAATTCATTACTTTCCTATAAAATAGTTGAACCCTAATGTCTTAGTGATTTCAACCCTTTAACCCAATCGGAATTTTAATGTCTTAGTAATCCCTCTTGAATTAAGCATTAAGCAAATGAATTATGAGTCTGCAATTTATGTAAGCCTATGTCTAGATTATACACAAATTGTTATTCTACCCTTGTCCAGATTAAAATCTCAATATGTCTATTGTGAATTCTTCCTATAATTTAGAGTGGCCAATTCTAAACAGGATATGAAAAAATTAACACAGGTAGAATAAAACTAACTAACTAATTAAATTATAAAAACAATATAGAAAATATAAAGGATTCACATCGGGTCCATGATCCCAACTACAAAAAGAAATTAGCCAGACATATTCATGTTTGACTTAAACAAATTAAAAGAATATCCACTAGGATTAGCCTAGTGGTGTGGGGTGTGTATGTTAGGTGTTTGTAGTGTAGTGGTGTGTGTTCAATTCTCATGTAATGTAAAAAAAAAAGAATAAAAATTGTTCATAAACTAAGAAGAAAAGAAGAAGAAGATAAAAACTCAATGTCTTCAGCCTTCAACTCTGGTGGAATCTTGATCTCTAGCGCGAGTCTCCAAGAATTCAATTCTCTGATCCTCGCAATTTTCTCTAGCAAAAGATGTCTTTCTCTGGGAGTCTAAGCCTTTATTTATAGACTTTGTGTCTTGCTCAGATATCTTGATTAAATCTTCGTCGTAAATCTCTGTCTAATCTTCCGCTGATACAGAATAGGATTGATGCTGATTGTCCGCACCTCCCACGCTGATAGCATGGGAGTTTTATTCACGTTACTGGAAGTTCACGCAACTAGCGTGGTTCCCACGCTGTGAGCGTGGGTTGCAAGAAAGTCTGGCGCCACTAACGCGAGATTCACGCTGTGAGCGTGGATGCCTCTAGAAGAAAAAGTTTCCTGGCGCTACTAGCGCGAATACCACGCTGTCAGTGTGGTTGTCTCTGTATGAAAAGTCCTCCTCACGCTCACAGCGCCACATCCACGCTGTCAGTGTGAGGCTTCAGTATTGTGCTTCCAAATTGGGCTTCTTGTTGTCCTGTTTTCCTACAAAATCAGAAGGAAATCAGTTGTGTGATCTCTGATTGAGATTTATCAAATTATCAGTAATTCTAGCCCTTTCTATCCAGGATTGATCAAGATTCTTTCTCTTTTTGGTTTAGATTTATACATATGCTGGAGGCATATCAGGTAGCTTTCTAATGGTGAAAGCTTTTACAAGTGAAAGAAGTGGAAAAAAAAAATACTAACGAAGAAAAGAAATGAACTTAGAGAAAGTGGATTAGTGGTAAGGAGTTTGGTATTGGGGGAAATAACAATATTTTCCTTTAATAAAATGTGTTATGAATGATTTATTACAAAGTAAATTGATATGCCAATAACAACTATGTAAGAAACAAATTCAAAGAACACAAAGCAATTATAATACGAAAAACCTTATCAAAGAAATAAAACCTGAAGGCGAGGGCATTTTTAATTATTTGTATTATTTTTTAACATATTCCTCCAGACAAGAGTCCTTTGGGCTTGAAGTGTGGATATTGGTGCATAGGCCCAATTTATTTTTTGATTTACCTCATGCTTATTTAATTTCACAAGTGGGGGAGGGGGGGGTGAGGATCCAACTTGTGATCTTATGGTCAAGGAAGCTCTGATACCATGTAAAACCTGAAGGCGTTGAGTGAAGGCATTTTTAATTATTTGTATTATTCTCTAACATATTCCTCCAGACAAGAGTCTTTTAGGCTTGAAGCGTGGATATTGGTGCATAGACCCACTTTTTTTTTTACATTATGCTTAATTAATTCCACAAGTGGGAGGCGGTGAGGATCGAACTTGTGATTTTATGGTCAAGGAAGCTCTGATACCATCTGATACCATGTAAAGAATCATTTTAATCTAAAACCCTAAGCGTTATTACAAATAAACACAAGCCAACATCAATATTATTTTTATGCTAAAATAGTCGAGTCAGCAGTAAACCTAAAGAAAACACTTATTATTATTTTGGTTCTCATCATTCAATATTTAGATATAACTTATTATTCAGAAACCATTATATATTACACCATATTAATCACCATAATTACCTTTAGTTTTGCATCGTTACAATTGCATTCTTCTTCTTCATTTAACCATTATACTTAGTGACGCTTGGCCTGGGTTCGAATTTATTATTCACTAGTGGTTCCTCACCGTCATACTTAGTGACACTTGGTCTTGGTTCAAATTCACTATTCACTAGTGGCTCTTCACCGTCATACTTGGTTACGCTTGGCCTGGGTTCAAACTCACTATTCACTAGTGGCTCTTCACCGTCATACTTGGTTAAGCTTGGCCTGGGTTCAAATTCACTACTCACTTGTGGCTCATCACCATCATATTTAGTGACGCTTGGTCTGGGTTCAAATTCACTATTCACTTTCACTAATGGCTCATCACCATCATATTTAGTGATGCTGGGTCTTGGTTCAAAATCTTCCTTGAACACCTTTTTTTCTATGGTAACTTGTGTATTTGTGACAAGAGGCTCTTCACATTTGTGCTTGAGTTGCTCTTGAATCTTGGGGTTGTTTTCAGTTTGGATCTCAGATGTCAACTGAAGAAGACCTTGAATTCCTTCTGGCAGTTCCTGATCTTTCATTACCATTTTCCAATATTCCCCTGCATCTTTTCTTGATTCCACAGTAGCAGCAAACTTCACAAAAATTACAAGAACAACACAGAAAAAAGGGGGAAATGGTGGTCAGATTACTATCCCAACTCCTAATTCAAGAAGCCATAATACAGAATATAATTTCGAACCAATATTAGAAAATGAGATCATGATGCCAACTAATTAATAGAGTTGAAAACTAATTAGAGTCCAACAGATATTTATCATTTTGAAGTAGGGAAGAAAATATTAAAAATAACCTTGGACTGCATGAAATTTGAGTAATATAACGTAATGAAATTTTTTTGGTGTGGCATGCTGCTTTTTCCTCATATTTTGTCAATAAACTTCATTCACTACAAATTATTTGATTATTGATTGATGTTGAGAACAATTCATTTGAATCCGTTACTGTTATTTAGAAGGAGAAGGCAATAACCAATGTTAGTGATAAGATAAGAAAGGATAATTAATAGAAATTGAGAAACAACAAAGGAAAACATACCAAGAAAATAACGAAAAGAGGAAGCAGAGCAAGAGCAGGTCTCATTTTCAACATAAAAGGAACGCCTTGTTTTCTGTTTTTTGTTTGTATGTATGTCGAATGATAGCTCACTGCCTATTTATAGTAGGATAACATATCTATTAGTAAAGTGGTTGGAAAATTATTGAAACCACAGAGAATTCATCCACCATCAGGGTTTGAAAATAATGCTTCACGTTTTACATGAAGTTTCAGTGGTATGCTTTGTGCATTTGTTCTCTGTATGTAATCCTATTAGACCCTCTACTTTTTTAGTTTTATCTTTTACCAATGTAATAACATGTTTTTTATATAGAATATATTCACATAAACACGCTGAAGATAAATAAACATGTTACGGAATTCATTATTGTCCAGCAAAAATCTTTTGCTAATAATTCCTTCATTACAATTTACAATACAAGAATGAGACATCTCATCCACTATTATATAAATCTCTCAAATTAGAAACCTTATATCAACATCCCACGCACTTCAGCAAGGTTATCCATCTAGGCCATTATATAATATCAAGGATCTTCACCCTTAGAGAATCTCCCACAAGTATATTTTTATCTCATAATTTCTTGTCTTACATATAATAATTTGAGTTTCGGAATATACGTAGATACACCACCCCTTCTTACTCATCAGGCGGAGAAAACCTTTGGTGCATTAGATATAGGTACATCTTTACCTAATTGGAAAAGTTTTTGGGATTTAGTGAAAAAAATAAAGAAAAACAAGGTTTAAATAGAAAAATAATTTCTCCATTTAGAAAAAAAAAATGTACCCAAGTGAATGCATCCGATGTATTCAAAAAAAATTCCACTAGCGGCCATTATTTGACCTTTTTATTTTTATTTTTTTAGAGTTAATTCAAACATAATTGCCTCTTTGAGGGTCTATCGATAGAAACTAAAAGTCTAGTTTTCAAACAACTACAACTTTATTCCGATAAACACCTCTTAGCAAATAGTGTTGTCTAGTGGCTAAGGCTTCAGAACAAAACACATAGTTGTTCTCTAGTTATCTAGGCTGTACATCATAATCATTATGTTTCTTAATATTGTTTTTGAAAAGAAATAATTCTTTTCTATTTCTGTGTCTTGGAATAATTTATAAGAAAAAAATAAGTTTGATAATATGTTCTATTTTTTATTCCGAGAATAAGAATTGCATTTGATAACATAATAAATAATATAACAAAAAATAATTCTTATTAAACATAAAAAATATTTTGGATCATCACTGTAAAGAATCTTGGGATACACCACCCCAAAAGCTAGCTCGAGGGGTGGGAGTGCCCGAGGCCTTATAAACTCCACTTTAGTTGCACATACAACCAATGCAGGACTATATATCTCAACACGCTCCCTCACACAAGAGCCCATTGGGGTTGAAGAGTGCACAATGCAACAGGCCCAGCCTACCTGTGCTAAGAAACTCCACAAGAGAAAATGGGGGGCGGCGAGGCTCTGATACCATGTAAAGAACCTTGGGATACACCACCCCAAAAGCTAGCTCGAGGGGTGGGAGTGCCCAAGACCTTATAAACTCCACATTAGTTGCACATACAACCAATGTGGGACTATATATCTCAACAATCACTTTCCTTTTCATATGGTGTGGTGGTGGTCGCGGCGGTGATGGCAGTGGCTGCGTCAATTGTGGTGGTAATGATGGCGATGGTGATAGTAGTGGTGGCGATGGTGATGGTGGTGACAGATGTGGTTGGTGACAGTGACAGTGATAACTGTGGTGGCGTGGTAGTGACGGTGGTGGTGATAACAATGGCGGTGGTGTGGTAGTGGTGATAGTGGCAGTGAGAATGATGATGATGGTGGCGATAGTGATTGCGGCGATGATAGTGATAATTGGTGATGGTGGCAGTGATGATAGTGACGATGGCATTGGAGATACGGTGACGGCGGCGATGATGGTGGTGGTGGTTGTATCGAGATGATGGTGGTGGTGGTGATGATGGTAATGGTGAAGAGTAATTGAGAGAGATAAATGTTTCTCATTTTGACCCCGAGAACAAAAAACAAAATTTTTTTTATTCTTTTTTCTGTTCCCTAGCACAAAAATTAAATCGGTTCATCCTGAGAACAAAAAAATAAAATGATTTTAATAAACGAGTTTTTTATCTATTTTCCTGGGAACATAAATAAAAAAATAAAAAAAAACTGATTCCAAAAAAATTGTCATGCACACCCCTAGTAACTAGTGATTGTTGAGTAGACATGTGAATATGTTATTGAACCAATTGAAATATAGAAAATACTTGAAACTTTTTTAATTTGTGACATGTCGATCAAAATATTCTCATTTCAGCTGTTTAATGATAAAATTTTAAAATATTTCCATCATAATTTAAAAGTTATCGTAAAAGAGAATATAATATTACTAATATATAATTGAAAAAATATTTCTCCTGTGTCACAGGAAAGAAAATTATCTACAGCAACTCCAAAACTATATCGTTTTGGGAATTGAGATAATTAATCAATCATATTTTAAGAATTTTATTTATTTTTTTATTATATGAATTTTATTAAAACACCATTAATTAATTTTTTTCAACCATCAAAACACCATTCATTCATTAATTTTGCTGGAAAAACTATAAACCAATACAAAATTATTATTTTTCCTTATCTCAAAAACACTAAATCTTAACATTAATGACAGAAGTATAATTTCATAAATTATTCCATCTCTTAACAACCATTGCCTTTCAATTTTGGAGAAAAGAAAAGAAATAAAAATTAAAAGGTATCAAATGAAAATTTGGTATGAAATCTTCCAATTCTGTTAAATTTTATTTTAATGTCCAAACAATAATATCATTTGTTGCTCCATTCTATTGTTTTCCTTTTTAATTTTTTAGAAAAACTGAGAGAGAGGCTTTGTATTTTTATAGGCCCGTTTGTGGACATGATATTGAAAATATAATAAGATCGACTATTCTATTGTATTTTTATTCATCATTTGTTTACGTCGCAACTAAAATCACGACGGGATGATAATTGAAATTTATTTAAAATTAAAAAATATAATAGAATCAGGGCAGAATTAACTTAAGAAACTCATATCATGCTCCCATAAAATCATCGATGAATATTACATCCATTATTAAGTACAACATCAATGTTTTACTCACAAAATTAAATGTGCAACACGTGTAAGTAAAGCCAGAGTCACATTATTTTCCATTTTCATCTATATAGAATGGGAGATAACCTAAATTTGATTCTCATCAAATATAATTTTGAAAAGAGGCAATGAGTTTAATTGTGATTAAGTTACGATTCAGGATTAATCTTATTGCTAACTCAAAAAATTGAAGTTTATGTGAATACTCGGGGCGTCAATTAATTTTAAATAGATAATTATGGATGATATAAAAAAAAAATTGTTATTAAAAAATAACTGCACAAGCTGCATTTCTTTCTTTTCCTTTTTTTGGAAATAACAAGCTGCATTTCTTACATCCAATGGTTCTTATTTAATTTTCAGCTTTTATAATAAAATTATGGCACTTTTTAATGATTGAGATTTTGGATGTAAAACAGCAGACAACCAAATCTTTCCTTTTGTTATTATATCCTCGGTTGTTTAAGCTGTTTCCGTTCTCGATTCACATTAAAATGAAAATAATCGGTTAAAACATACTATTTCTGGGGACAAAACAAATATATACACAAGAAGACAAGATTTGGAATCTCATCAGATCAAAGTGGGTCATTCGTATAATTAAACAAAGAGTAATTAGTAACACACATGTATTGGACAATCAAATTAAAAGGATTGTTATATATACATCGAGCAGGTGTGTGTTTTACCTTGGCACTTTAAATTAAATTTTAGACTCACACAGTAACACCTACAATAATTAATTAATTTATTATATCATTAGGGGAAAAGCAAATGTGTATACAGACAACAAAAACAAGATTTGATGAATCATCGGATCCTAGTGGGTCATCCATACAGAGCACCAAGCTTATCCAAAAAGAAAAAGAAAAAGAAAATCAACCAATAATTGATAACATGTATTGGACACTCAAATTAATGGGTTGAGATATAAATTGGGAAGATATTTTTTAAAAATAAAAAATTAGATTAGGAGAGACATTCTCCATATAAGATTAGGAAAGACCATCAAAATGTATATTTTTTTACATTAAGACTTCAAATTGAATTTTAAACAAACACCTACGATAATTAGTTAATTTATTTAAATGCATTATCCTGACATTTAAAATGCACTATGAAAATCATTATAAGCAACTGTTATTTTTTTAATAGGAAAAACTTTAATTTACTTAAAAGTTAAAAAAAATCTAATTTATGGTTAAAAAAAATTCAAATAGAGCACAAAATAATAATAATAATAACATATTAATGTTTGGCAAAATAAACGAACCAAACTGAGCCGAACTGTAGTTTTTGAATTAGTTTTGAAAATCAAATTAGTTTTATAAACAACTTTAAAATTTAAAACAAAAAAAAAAAAATCAGTTTGGAAAATCGATTCAAAACTGGTTTGAAAACCGATTCATAAATGATTCAAAATTGGTTTATATACACAACTCGGTTCTAAAACATAAATTAGTATTCAAACATAAACTGGTATGAAAAAGAAAAAAATAATTCAGTTGGAACCAAACCGATTTAAATCAATCTGATTCGATTCGGCCAAAATAACGGTTCGAGTCAATTCATGCCCACCCTTAAATTGTACTAATTTTCTTATAACCATAATTTTGATCAGTTACAACCAGTGTTGTAAAAATCGGACCGGCCCGGACCGGCTCATCAACTGGTCCGGTTTCATCATTTGCAGCAGATGGGATTTGAACCCTGCTCATTGGAGTGAGGAGCGCCTTCTCATACCACTAAGCCACCATCACTGGTTGAATAATATACACCATTTAATATATTTATTATATAACTATTAAGTTAAGAGAATTATTTCAAAAATTGCATCTAATGGGATTCGAACCCTGCTCATTGGAGTGAGGAGCGCCCGCCCTAGCGAACTTCATTGAATGTCTGCCATGTGTCATCGTGGCAAGTGGAAACGTGCATGTGTATTAATTGCAACCAAGTTCACTACTCAGAGTAGCGAACTTGGTGTCCAATACCTAGAGTAGCGAACTTGGTGTCCACCAAGAACATGACACATCAGCAAACTGAGTTCGTTACAGTGCCCAACAAACTTGTCCATGTGGCATATTGAGAATTAACACTGTTGACGTGACATTTAGAGAAAAAAGTTCAGGAACAGTGACATTCTGGTCACTGTTCCTTTATCCTGAGGCTGAACACGTTGAATATAACTAATCCAAACTAAAATGAAATTATATGAATATGTATTTAAAATATTTCACTTAAAAATATTTATTATTCATACTTATTTAAAAAAATTCTTTCTATACTTTAAGCAAATTTAACTCTCTCTTTTGAATTTAGACAAACATTTTAAGATTGGTAATTAATCTGAAATTATATTTTAAATTTTGATTTATTTTGATAAATTTATTTAAATTTTGATAGAAAAAGTTTTATCGTCCATATTATTCTACTTAGATTCAAATCGGACTAATCGAGTAATCAATGAGTTGATATATAATATACTAAAAAAGTGTATTGTGATAAAATAGTTTAAACTTGTATACAATATAATTTGATAAAATTATTTCTATATATTTTAATAAATATATATATTAAAAATTATAATAAATAGAAAAAATATTCTATATATGTAAATTAATATTTTAAGAAAATTAATCATATTGGATCGGTTGCTTTTCTTCTTCAACATAGATTTAACCAAATCCTCAAACACCTCTAGTTATCTCTCTTACTACTCAATTTGTTTTAAAAGTTGTATCTAGAGTAAATACCTTTTTTGGTCATCAGAAAATTTCACGAGGCTCATTTTAGTCCCTAGCAAATAAAAAGGCCCATCGTGGTTCCTAAAAAATTTAAATTGGACCCATTTTATTCCTTTTGAGGAATAATATGGGTCTTTTTTGAATTTGTGAGGGACCGCGATTTCAACTAAATGGGTCCTTTTGAATTTTTGAGGGACTACGATGGGCCTTTTTATTTTCTAGGGACTATAACGGGCCTCGTGAAATTTTCTGAGGACCAAAAAGAGTATTTACTCTAGTATCTATTACTTTGTAAATAAAACTTGAGTAAACACCCTTTTTAGTCCCTGTCAATATCTACGAAGTCCTTTTTAGTCCCTGACAATAAAAAAGGACCAAATTGGTCCCTGAAATTACAAAAAAAGGGCCATGTTAGTCCTTATGTCAACTCCCAAATATGTAGAGTGACCCTTTTCTTGTACTTTCAGGGACCAATTTGGTCCTTTTTTATTGCCAGGGACTGAAAAAGACTTCGTAGATATTGCCAGGGACTAAAAAGGGTGTTTACTCATAAAACTTTAATTTTGAATACTTTTGTGATAGTCATATTTCAAGAAAACTAACAAGGGTTGAGTGCGCTGATAAGTAAACCGATCTGTAAACCTTAAAAAAATAAAAGGTTATGTTTATCTCATTTTATATGAGATAAACAATTTTCCTACACACACAAAAAGGGATTGGGTCCTACTACATTTTTTCTCTCTTCTCTTACCTGTGGGTCCCACTTATACTTTTATTTCTACAACATGAAGTAAATTTTTTCCTACAACATATGAAAAATATATCTCAAAAATAAAAGGACTAGTTTTTATAGAAACACCTTGATAAAAGATAAAAAAATAAAGATATATTTTTTAATTAAAATGTTTTTTTAATGTAAAATAAACTAATCAGACATGTTTTCATTCTTAAAAATATAATTGAAGGGTGATTCAATTCAAAATTTAATAGTTATATGACTCTATTTTTATTTTGTTTGTTTAAACTTGTGATTTAATTTTGCATCAATAATTTAATATTTACATATAATTTATTTAGAAAGAGTAAAAGATTGTCCTTTTAATTTAATTTAACATATAAAATGACTTTTTTATGGAAAATAAAATTTTAAAGATTTTACTTTATTTTTTTAATTTTTTAATAATTTACAATTTAATCTTATTTTTATTTTATTTTTTTGTTTTAAACAAAACACTCTTAAGTCAGTAGATACATTTAGGTCATGAATGAATTGTTTTACGGGGAAAGTTATATTTACAAATTTTTTATTTATAAACTACACTATGTATTATGGGTAGTACATACTCAAGTAATATATTCTACCCCTAGTACATAATATAATTTGTAAGAATTTGTAAATAAAAAATTTATAAATATAACTCTGCTTAAAATTACCGCATCTGTGGCTGGACAATATAACCCTGCTCAAGTAATATATACTACCCGCGACACACAAGAGAAGTGCACCACATATGTGTGGCTGGACAAAATTACCGTAAACATCTAAACACAATAATAATTAAGAACTCACAATTGAGAGATTGCTCGATGTCATTGCCAATGTAATTATGCAAAATTACACTCTCACTGAAGTCCATCATCTCAACTCTAAAAAGTTCTCCCACAATAACTTATGCAATGAGGGGGTATTTAATGGTGAGTGTATCTTCACTTTCCGAATTCAAGTGAAGCTTTGAAAAGTGGTAGTTTTTGACAACTATTGGCAGCGCCTTTGTTTGATCTTTTTTCTCCCTTGTTTTTTATTGAGTGGAGGACCACTCACCCTTGATAAATTTTTTTTCTTCTAGAAATTTAAGGAGGGGTCAGCCGCCCACCCTAGCACCCCCTGCCTCCGCGTCTAATTGAGAAACAATGATACTATTTCACACTACATAATTTTAAACACAAGAGTAGGTTATATTTATAAATTCTTACAAACTACATTATATACTACTGGTAATATATATTACTTGAGTATATACTACCCGTAATACATAGTGTAGTTTATAAATAAAAAGTTTGTAAATATAACTTACCCCTATCATTTTTTACATTTTTATCAATTAAAAAAGGCAAATTGTGTGTCCTTTTTGTTTTTTGGAAATTGTTCCAAGGGTATACCGGGTCGAAAGCCAATGATTAATCCCCTCGAGACGGAGAGATCACACTATCGTGGGTACAACCTCTTCAAACAAAGCCTTTTCTATACATACGGTCAGGGATCGAACCCTTTTCAGCATGCTTAAAATGATACAAACTTATGTTCTTTTAATACAGAGAAAAACACAAAAAGGTATGAGTCCCACTAAAAAAATAAAGACAAAAAAATAAAATAAAAGTATAAGTCGTATCTTTCTCTTAGAAGAACAAGTTTGTATTCTTTAAAACACACATTTTTCCTATTAAAAAAATAGAGAAAATACATGTAAATGATTTACTCGTGCTGAAAATTATTTGTTTGTGAATTCTATATTGGATTGCAGAGATACTAGGGGGTTTGATGAGGTCTCTGAGTCTGTTCTGCTAGACAAAGTTGAACGAAAGTGTTCAATGCATGCAACCAGAAACATGGGTGAAAAAGTTGTATCTTGGATCTTCTTTCTTCATCTACTAGTAATCATGGTATATTAAGTGCTCAATTTTTTTCTTGAAACTCTTGGTTTTTTTCTGTTAGATTCTTCAATTAACAAGTAGGCAGCGACAAATTGTAAAGATATAATTTTCTTTCGCTTTTCCCTTCTCTAAATAGCAAATCTTTCTAAAATTTTTGCAGAGTTCCAATGGAAGCAGAGCGAGAGAAATGGCTGGAACAGAAAACAAACACTTGGATAATGCACAGGAAGAAGGTGATACTCATCAACCAGCACACAGAGATCATCATGCACATGCTCACTTCACAACCCACATGGATCATATAGACCCTTCTGTAATGGTGTTCTTCACCTTGAATGATTTGAAAGTTGGTAAAAGAATGCCAATTCATTTTCCCAAGAGAGACCCTGCAACCTCACCTCGGTTGTGGCCAAGAGAAAAAGCTGAATCAGTTCCTTTCTCATTGAACCAAATGCAACACCTTCTCAAGTTCTTCTCTTTCTCTCCAGATTCTTCTCAAGCCAAAGCCATGGAAGATACCTTGAGGGAATGTGAGAGCAAACCCATCAAAGGAGAGGTCAAGTTCTGTGCTACCTCTTTAGAATCCATGCTTGACTTTACTAGAACCATTCTAGGGTCAACATCTGATCTCAAAGTTTTTGCAACTTCTCACCTAACCAAATCGAGTGTCACTTTCCAGAACTACACCATCTTAGAAAACATCATAGAAATCCAAGCTCCTAAGATGGTAGCTTGTCATACCATGCCTTACCCTTATGCTGTTTTTTATTGTCACAGCCAAGAAAGTGAGAACAGGTTATATAAGATTCCACTTGCTGGTGATAATGGGGATAGGGTGGAAGCTATGGTTGTTTGTCACTTGGATACCTCACAATGGGGTCATGGTCATGTTGCATTTCAAGTTCTTAAGGTTATGCCGGGAAGCTCTTCTGTGTGCCACTTTTTCCCAGCAGATCATCCCATCTGGGTTCCCAAACTGCAATCCAACGGTTTTTCAACCATGTAATTTTAGTATCATGTGCTTACACATGAAGCTCAACTGTATTTGATGTTTGTTTGTTTTTGTCTGCATAACTAAATAATGTAAGAATGTCTGCTTTTTATTTTCAGCATAAAATAAGAGGCTCACCATAGCCAAAAAAAGAAGAAAAAAATGCATGATGTTAGAAAAAGTTATTAATCATTGGATACACTGATACATAACTTGTTCAGAAACCATAATATTTTACACCATATTAATCATTGGATACACTGATAAAGCACACAATTTCCTTTATTTGCATTCTTACAGCTGCGATGATCATCATTTAGTCATTATACTCAGTGATTCTTGGCCTTGGTTCAAACTCACTATTCATTGGTAGCTTCTTTTTTTCTATGGTAACTTGTGTGTTTGTAACAAGAGGGTATTCACATTTGTGCTTGAAACCTTCAACAAGTTGCTCTTGAATCTTGGGGTTGTTCTCAGATTGGATCTCAGATGTCAACTGAAGAAGGCTTTGAATTCCTTCTGGCAGTTCTTGATCTTTCATGACCATTTTCCAATATTCCCCTGCATCTTTTCTTGAGTTCCACGGTAGCAGCAAACTTCACAAAAATTATGAGAAGAACAGAATAAAAAAGGGGGAGATGATGGTCAGATTACAATTCAAGAAGCCAATACACCCTAACACAACATAATTTCAAGCCAATATTAGATAATTAGATCATGATGCCAAATAATTGAGTTGAAAACTAATTAGATTGCATTTTCAACCCATTCTGCAAATATACAAGTCCAAATTATGTAACGTAATAAATTATTTTGGTATGATATGGTGCTTTTTCCACATATTTTTTCAAGCTTATTTTGTATCTTTCACTCCAAATTATTATGAGTATTGATTGATGTTTAAACCAATTCATCTGAATCCCTTACTATTATTTAGATGAGAAGGCCATAACAAATTAATGATAAGATCAGAAAGGACATAATTAATAGAATTTGTGAAGCAATGAAAGGAATACATACCAAGAAAACAAAGAAAAGAGGAAGCAAAGCAAGAGCTGGACTCATTTTCAATATAAAAGAAGGGTTCAAATTTTATCCAGTAACCGATTTTCACTATGTATTCTTAGAAGTACAAAATGAAAATATAAAATTTATCTTTCTCTCTTTCCACGTCAGCAAATAACTTTTGAGGAGAAAAAGTTTTTTTACAGCTTTAATATTTTCACTATGTACTTCTAGGAATACATAATAAATACATAATAAAATCGGTAGGAGATAATTTTTTTTTTTGCAGTTAAAAAAGAAATACATTAGTCCTTGCTTTCTCTTTTTATTGTTTGTATGAATGTCGGATGATATCTTCTACCTATTTATAGTAAAATAACCAATAAAAAGAGCAAGTATTAATGTATGAAGGGAATAACAAAGGTGTTTGAAGAAAGGGGTTTTCAGTATAATTAGTAAGAAGGCAGTGAAAAATAAATGTAATTACATTTTTAAACAATGTACAGTTAAAGGACACGCACCACAAAATAACACATCACGTATGCAACACAAGACGCTTACCCACACCGACAGCACATGCAACAGTAACACGTCACAATTGGAGACAATATATGCATGTGCTGTGGACACCTACACACACCACACCTTGGAAATGTCTCCAATTCATGCACTCATCTCACCCCACTTGCATCGTACACCACACTCATTTCTTCATCCCCCAGCAAATTCACGCACCAACACATCTTTTCTAGGAGAACAACACTTATCACAAAAATCAAAAGAAAGTGAAGAAAAACACAGAAAAATAATCAATTTGAGAAAGGAGGAGAAGTAATTTCTGCAATATAAGACTTTCCATGAGATTGCACCGGTATATGGTTCTCACAGAATTGTGACAAATGTGACTAAACACTGATTCACCAATCACCATACATGTAAATTAGATATATGGAGGTTTAATTATGATAAGTTAAGACAATAAATAAGGATTGAACGACAGCAATCAAATAAAAAAATAGCATGAAAAAGAGAGAGAATAATCAACAACAATAATTGTCAGGTGAAAGAGAACAATTTTAATTAAACACTCCTCTTTTTATAATTTTTTTATTTACAAACTCTTACAAATTATATTATATCTTACATAATGAAACTTTACGGGTAAGATATAGTGTAATTTGTAAGTTTATAAAAGAAAAATTGTTGATATAACTTTCCTTACTCTTTATAGATAACGTACCTTTTTTTTTTTTTAATAAAAAAATAGAGAAACTATATAGAAATGATATACACGTGCTGAAATTAATTTGTTTGTGGATTTTATGTTGGATTACAGAGTTACTGCTAGTTGGGATTCAGTACTCGAACTCTCGAAAAAGGTGAACAGAACGGCCGGTTTAAGGCTAACCAGCATAAACTTGGATGAAAAAGTTGTATCTTGGATCATCTTGCTTCTTCATCTACTAGTAATCATGATATCTTGGAACTCTGTTTTTTAGTTAATTTCTTTAAATGATATCATAGAAATCCCAGCTTTTAGTTAATTTCTTTAATTGACATCATAGAAATCCCACCTCCTAAGATGGTAGGTAGGTGTTGCGAATACTGCAAGTATACCGATCGTACAAGTAATAAACTGAATGAGTAGAGTATCGTTCCCACGAGGACTAATTACAAGTAATAGTTTCACCATTTTTATCTAAGATCTCCCTTAATTGGTTTAATTACAATTCAATAATATTCTATCTCAATTATTTCAAACAATTCATCATCTAAAAATTAATTGGTTAAACTCTAATGTCTTAGTTCTTTAGCCCTTTAACCCAAGCGGAATCCTAATGTCTTAGAAATTCCTTTTAGATTAAGCCTTAAGAGCGATGAATTATAAAAGTTTGCAATTCCTACAAGCCTATTTCTAGATCATGCAAGAATTGTTGTTCTACTCCTATCTAGATCAAGATCCCAATATGTCTATTGTGAACCCTAACCCTTTTTATCCCTCTATAATTGGCCAGATCATATAAGAATTTAAATATGCAAATGAAGGTAAACACAAACAATTTAAGACAGTTTATTAATGAAAAGAATTAAAGCAAAACAAGGATTCAAGTTGGATCCATATTTTTAACTACAGAAGAAAATTAGCCAGACATAAATTGTTTAAACAAAATAAAGAAAGAAAAAGAAATAGAAGAAGTTATGAAGAAAAAGAAGAATCAATGTTGTTCAATCTCATTCAAGCTTCTCCCTCTGAAAATTTCAATCTCTCGCTCTTGCCTCCTTCTCTCCCTGTTGCAGAATATGTGTAACGCCTGACCGCTTCAAGAATCAATGACTATCCACACATACTAACACATGACTTTTCAGTGTGCTTTTTTTTCACTTGCACACTTCCTGGGAAAACTTCCCAGGAGGTCACCCATCCCAAAATTACTGCAAATCAAGCATGCTTAACTATGAAATTCTTCCATTCTGGGCTACCGAAAAGTAGATGCATCTTGTTAGTATAGGTAGTACCAATTAATTCTTATAAGCTATCCCCAACTGTGCAGTCTCATACCTGCACAATCTTTGGAATCTCTCTCTTTCAGGTGTCGATTCGATTCATTCATGTAATCCCCCGCTGGAAGCCTGTCAAGAGTCGCTCCTTGTCTGTGCCATTTCGGACCATGCCCTTTCGCACCGGCAATCACTTCCCGCCCTTGTCAGCGCTCGGGGTGATACAAGCCCACTAGCTTCCACCTGATTCGTCCTCGAACCACACCGTACTGGAAGAGAGGCCCTGCTCTGATACCACTTCAAGAATCAATGACTATCCTCACATACTAACACGTGACTTTTCAGTGTACTTTTTCCTCACTCGCACACTTCCTGGGAAAACTTCCCAGGAGGTCATCCATCCCAGAATTACTGCAAGTCAAGCACGCTTAAATATGAAGTTCTTCCGTTCCGGGCTACCGAAAAGTAGATGCATTTTGTTAGTATATGAAGTACCATAAGCTATCCAAACTGTGCAGTTTCATACCTGCACAGTCTTTGGAATCTCTATCTTTTGGGTGTCAATTCGATTCATTCATGTAACCCCCCACTGGAAGCCTCTCAGGAGTCGTTCATTGTTTGTGCCCTTTCGCACCATGTCCTTTCGCACCGACAATCACTCCCCGTCATTGTCAACGCTCGGGATGTTACAATATGCCAGCCTTCTTTCTGTTTCCAAGAGTTGCCTTTTTATAATCATGAAACCATATTTTTTAATTTCCCATAATATCTTCAATGGATTCTTCATTAGAATCTCCAATCATATCTGTAATCAAATCCTTAAAATCTCCCCTTTTATATTTCAAAGGAAAACTTTCCTTAAAAATATTCAAGAGAATCTTCAATAATATCTTCAATCAATTATATGATTCAGAAATCCAAAGCAAATCCACTTGAGCTCTCCAATTTATCTCTTTATTGAGTTGAAAATTACCACAAAATATTAGAATTTTTGTGAGAATCTTAATGAGAATAAAATAATAATTTAATTACAATTATCATATCTTTTAATTATTTTAAATCAATTTTATGCTCATATTAACCCTTAATACCAATGTTGTCAAAATTGAGTTTCTACATAAAAATGGAAAGGAATTGTAGAAGCGTAAATCGTAGAAACGACACGAAACGTAAAGTTTCTACTACTTAAGGTCAAGATATAAAATTATATATATATATATATATATATATATATATATATATATATTGATGTAAAAAAAAATATATCACATAAGTCATACTCAAAATTCAATAAATAACTTCATATTTAAAAAATATAAATCACATAACTGTATAAGACATAAGTCCAAAAGCATTAAAAGAGTTTAACAACTCTTATAACCATGTTCCGAAACATCCAAAAAATAAAGTTTAACAACTCATAAATGGAAATACATCGACCTCCCGCAAGATTATTTTTTTTTTTTAGATAGCTAGAAGAAGATACTGTACATTTGATTTGGGGAAAATGGAAATAGAATTTATTTATTTTTG